GCATGAGGGCATGAGGGCATGAGGGCTTAGGGCATGAGGGCATGAGTTCATGAGGCCATGAGGGCACTAGGGCATGAGGGCATGAGGGCATGAGGGCATGAGGGCGTGAGGGCATGAGGGCATGAGGGCATGAGGGCATGAGGGCATGAGGTCATAAGGGCATGAGGGCATAAGGGCATGAGGGCATGAGGGCATGAGGGCATGAGGGCTTAGGGCATGAGGGCATGAGTTCATAAGGCCATGAGGGCACTAGGGCATGAGGGCATGAGGGCATGAGGGCATGAGGGCATGAGGGCATGAGTGCATGAGGGCATGAGTGCATGAGTGCATGAGTACCCTAGGGCATGAGGGCATTAGGGCATCAGAGCATGAGTGCATGAGGGCATGAGGGCATGAGGGCATGAGGGCACTAAGGCATGAGGGCATGAGGGCATGAGGGCATGAGGGCATGAGAGCATGAGGGCATGAGGGCATGAGGGCATGAGGGCATGAGGGGATGAGGGCATGAGGGCGTGAGGGCATGAGGGCATGAGTGCATGAGGGCATGAGGGCATGAGGGCATAAGGGCATGAGGGCATGAGGGCATGAGGGCATGAGGGCGTGAGGGCATGAGGGCATGAGGGCATGAGGGCATGAGGGCATGAGGGCATGAGGGCATGAGGGCATGAGGGCGTGAGGGCATGAGGGCATGAGGACATAGGGTCGTGAGGGCGTGAGGGCATAAGTGCATGAGTGCATGAGGGCATGAGGGCATGAGGGCATGAGGGCGTGAGGGCATGAGGGCATGAGTGCATGAGGGCATGAGGGCATGAGGGCGTGAGGGCATGAGGGCATGAGTGCATGAGGGCATGAGGGCATGAGGGCATGAGGGCGTGAGGGCATGAGGGCATGAGGGCATGAGGGCGTGAGGGCATGAGGGCATAAGGGCATGAGGGCATGAGGGCATGAGGGCATGAGGGCATAAGGGCATGAGGGCATGAGGGCATGAAGGCATGAGGGCGTGAGGGCATGAGGGCATGAGTGCATGAGGGCATGAGGGCATGAGGGCATGAGGGCGTGAGGGCATGAGGGCATGAGTGCATGAGGGCATGAGGGCATGAGGACATGAGGGCATGAGGGCATGAGGGCGTGAGGGCGTGAGGGCATGAGGGCATGAGTGCATGAGGGCATGAGGGCATGAGGGCATGAGTGCATGAGTGCACCCCCACCACCTCCACCACCCCCGCCGCCTCCACCACCGCTCCCTCCACCGCCACCTCCACCACCCCTGCCACCCTTGCCGCCCCTGCCACCGCCGCGCTTCCCACTAGGAGCGGAAGCCGCTGCGACCTTCTCAGCACCGAGGAGGTTGACTGCAGCAGCAGCTGAGGCGTAGGAGGGGGCAAGAGGGGAGGGGGAGCACCCCTCAAAGAGGGGAGTGCGAGGAGTGCCACGGGCAGCATCTACAGCTAGGATGATCTTCTCTGCTGTGAGGAGCTGCTGCTCGAAGTCGGCTAGGGTGATAGTGGTGGGGTCCTTGGCAAGGAAATGGTCCACGACTGAGCTAAGAGTGTCAGGGAGGCGGGTGACGAGGATGTAGAGGGTAAAGTACAGCGGGGGGCGGTTCGTGGCGAGGAACTCGTCGGTAAGAGCGGCACGAAAGCGGGCGTCACTAGCGCGGAGGTGAGAGATGAGGTCCTCAGCGGTGGTAAACGAGGACAGGTCGGGGAACAGGTAGGGCAGGATGAGGCGTCCTACGGCTGCAGTGGCTGGGGAGGAATAGCGCGCAACTACAGCGTCATACAGCGCCTTAGCAGTCTTGTGCTGACTAAAATGCGCGCGCTCAGTGATCGGCAGGTGGTTGCGGATAGCGAGGCGCGCAGCAGCATAGTGAGTCTGCCACTGTCAGCAGGAGCAGCGGCAGTGCCAGAAGCGTGATCGAACAGTGAAACGCCGTCTTTGGCATCCGTCATAAGAAACAGGTCTAGGTCGTCAAGCCAAGTGGCAAACGCTATCGGGCTACCGTTAGGCTCAAACGCGAGAACATTCAGTGTCGCCATTATAGCAGCACAGGCAAAAGCAGCAGGCCAAGGCAGCAGGAAGAGGGGCAAGTGCACGTCAGGCAGGCATGCGCAAGGCAGGCAGGCGCACCTCAGTCAGGCAGGCGCAAGGCAGGCAGGCGCACTTCAGGCAAGGCGCAAGACAGGCAGGCGCGTTTCAGGCAGGCAGGCGCAAGGCAGGCAGGCGCACTTCAGGCAAGGCACAAGGTAGGCAGGCGCACAGGTAGGGTAGGGCGTAGCGGCGACGGACGGCGCACGGGTAGGGCACGCAGCTGCGGGCTGCGCGCGGCTGCGGGCTGCGCGCGGCTGCGGGCTGCGCGCGGCTGCGGGCTGCGCGCGGCTGCGGGCTGCGCGCGGCTGAGGGCTGCGCGCGCGGCTGCGCGCGGCTCGGCGCGGGCTGCGCGGGCTCGGCGCGGGCTGCGCGGGCTCGGCGCGGGCTGCGCGGGCGGTGCGCGGGGCAGCTACGGGCCGCGCGCGCGCTGCGCGGGCTTAAAGCGGGCTATATGGGCGACGAGCGGGGCGCGACGCGGCTGGAAGCAGCGGCGCGCGCTAAAAAAAAAAAAAAAAGGATACGCGCGCGCGCAGCCGAGGCGCGCGCGGGCAGCAGGCAAGGCAAACAGGCAGGCTAGGCAGGTAAGGCCGTAGCTGAGGTAACGCGGTATCGGGTGGGCCCAAACTTAGGTCCTAAAGACCTATTGCTCTAGATACCATCTTAGAAGCTAGGGATGAATGGATGAACTATCGAGTGAGTTTGGTACAAGGAGCAAACCCTAAGGGGTTGTACCCCACATTATCTACCCCACTACAGCCTACCCACAAATATAATATATGCATATGTTTGACAGCTTCCTCCTGTCGGAATACTAGGCACAATCGAGAAAACAGGCAAGGGAGTTTTGACTAACAAGCATAAAGATACATATAGCAAACCCTAGAAGGGCTGTACTCGCTATAGAGTACCCCACTGCAGGCTAGACAACCATTACATTCTGACACACCCCCATAGTCAAAGTGGGGTACAATCAACACAACAAGCAGGCAGAGCAGTAGGTTCACAAATACAAGCAAAGCTAGAGGCTATCACAGAGGGCAAGTGAGGAGGAGGAGAAACTGTGGGAGCAAGAAGATGAGAGGCGACGGCTGAAGCTGCAGGCACACGGGCAACAGGAGTACGCCGCACTGACGCTACCAGGCTAAACCCGGACTACACGGCGACAGGGGGTCGCAGCTGACTCGCTGTGCTCCTAGGGGAGCTCACACTGTAGCTACCGGGCGCAGAGCCCCGGACTACTCAGGCCACAGGGGGTCGTGGCTCCCTGGACTTCAGGCGCTGCGGACGACAAGTCGACGGCCTCCTCTCAACTTCCCCCAGCTGTCCCACCCCCTTTTCACACACCCCCTGCTATAACCCCTAGCACCGCTCACACGCCACCCCCTAGCGCCACTCCCTCGGCTCCCACACACCCACCCCCCTCAGCGGTAGCTGCAGCAGTGGGAGACGGAGAAGGAGGAGGAGGAGGGGACGGCGCACGCACCCGGCACCCCATACCCGCCCCCCCACACGCGCCACCCCCAAACCCTAATCGTAGGCAGGAGCGGGGGATAGCGCGCGGGCAGCACCGCGGGGGACGGCGCGCGCGAGCAGCAGCACGGGGGGACGCGCGCGCGGTCCTCAGGGCGGCGCGACAGGGCAGCGGGGGCCGCGCGCGGCTCCCCAGGGCGTCGCGACGGGCAGCGGGGGCCGCGCGCGGCTCCCCAGGGCGTCGCGACGGGCAGCGGGGGCCGCGCGCGGCTCCCCAGGGCGTCGTGACGAGCAGCGGGGGCCGCGCGACCGTCGACAGGGGGCGACGCGCAGGTCAACGGGGCAGAAAACCGCCGCGCGCCCCGGGCGCGCGGCGGGAAGAAAAAATCGCCGCGTGCCCGAAGCGCGCGGCAGGCAGGAAACAGCAGGAAACAACAGCGGAAGCTTCGGGTGGGACCACCCACAGGATCGACCCAGGAGGGTCGACCTGCTCTGATAGCATGTCGGAATACTAGGCACAATCGAGAAAACAGGCAAGGGAGTTTTGACTAACAAGCATAGGGATACATATAGCAAACCCTAGAAGGGCTGTACTCGCTATAGAGTACCCCACTGCAGGCTAGACAACCATTACATTCTGACACCTCCTCCTATCCAACCGTTGGTGTGTAACACCGGCAGCCTACGCCCTCCAAATTAGCCCTCCGCCCTCCGTTCTGGCAGTCAGAGGTGCTGCCGGTCAGCCACCGCCATTTCTGTGCGTATCCCAGCTGCGGCAACTGCTCTTCAGGCGACCTGCTACCAGACACCACTAGCTATAGCCGTAGGCAGTTACGGGGGTGTGTTAATTTATATTGCATATCTTATACCTGCCTACAGCTTACTAGTGTATTAGGTTAGTTATATCAACTGCTGATGGTGTACCTTTTGGCTTGCCTATATCTTGTACCACTCTTTCTAGTGCAACCCCTTCCTTTTGCCAAATCTCTCGATACCATCTCCTTAGTCTTGTTCCTAAGCCCAAGTATGTTTCCTAAGCTAAGCTCCTAGTTTTGACAGAACTGGATGCCCTAGTACCACATCAACGACACCGTCGAGCGTAAGAATCCGAGGCGGGTCGTGAAGGGCTTCATGCAGGTGTACGGTACCGACTATGATGAGACGTACTCGCCGGTGGGCAATTCCAGATTCCTTAGTCACACATTCCTGCAATAGGTGTAGAAAATGAAACAACATTTTTTTCCATGAAACATATTATTTTTTCAGTCGTCTCGAATGCAATTTTATTGAATATATGGTGCAGGACTGCATTGTTTGGCTGTTTCTAACCGTGTTTTTGCTAGCCAATTTACCAAGCTTGGAGCCTGGTATATATATTACTAAGAGTCATAACATAAACAGGAAGAGTTACCTTACGGAATCGTCTGGAGTCATCCTTCATGAACACTTGCGAGAATAATTTGGACATCGTGTTCCCTTGTTCGACACCTTCCGCCACGTCGACAGCCCGTGTCGCCCTTTACACTACTTCACGGCGGGAATCGCCCCGCCCTCACTGCCAGGCCGTCCACCTGAGCCATGCGGAATGGCGCAGGTGATGTGGATCGCGACAGCAGCGGCGGGCTGCGGGTCATCGCGGGGTCGTACGAGCGCTTCCTCTTCGGCTTCCGCCTCCACCTCCCCACCTACCCGTACGCCGCACCCGCCTTCCGCCCCCAACCACGCATCCCGTGCGCGGCTGGTCCTCTATTTACCCCCCCGAGCTAACGGCCCCACCCCACCTGTGCCGATTCGTTTCCGCCTAAGCCCCGCATGTGCGGCCTGAACCCCTTGTTCGCCCACTCCACCCGCCTTTTCCCGCAAACCATGCTTGTCCCTTGCGCCCTCCCTCACGCGCGCTTGCGCTCTCGTTTCTCGCACCCCCGTCAGGCTGGGCGCATCGCAACCAGCAGCGCGCGGCGGGGAGGGAGGGGAGAGCGGAGAAGGCATGGTGGAGGAGAGGAAGCAGGAGGGGCAAGGCGAGGGGGGCGGGAAGGCGGCGTTGCGGCAGCAGTTCTGCTACGGGGGGCACACGGGGCCCATCAAGTGCGTGGCGGCGGCGGGGGGGGTGGCGGTGAGCGGGGGGGCGGACGACAGCGTGCGCGTGTATGACCTGCGCGCGCGCACCGACATGGGCGCGCTGCTGCACCACTCCGCCGCCGTCTCCTGCCTCGCTGTGAGTGCCGCCGTCTCCTGCCTCGCTGTGAGTGTTAGCCGCAGCGCCCCTCCACTTGTGTGCTGCCCACTTGTTGCCTCCAAGCCTCCCCACTGTGTGCCGTCATTCGTCCGTGCCGCCACCTGTCCCACCGCCCACAGCTGCACGGCAGTGGGAGTCGCCCCACTCACCTGCTTGCAGGCAGTGAAGACCGCACCATCAGCCTATGGGAGGTCGCCACGTGGCGGCATCTATCAAGCCTCAAAGGGCACAAGGGGCCTGTGAATGACATCGCAGGTGCGTGCTGGGGTTGCTGTGGGTTGTCAGGGGTTGTTGTGGGTTGCATTGCAATGGGTTGCTGTGCGTTGCTGTGGTCTGTTTTGTGTTGCTGTGATGTGCGCTCCCTCTTGCTCCCCCTCCTCCTATCTCCTACTTCGCCTCTCCCTGTCTCCCCTGCCTCCCCCTCTTCCCTCCCCCACCCCCCCCCCCCCCCCCTTCGTGCACGGGAGCAGTGCATCCATCGGGGCGGTTAGCGCTGTCAGTGGCGAGGGACACGGAGCTGCGCCTGTGGAACCTGCTGCAGGCGCGCTGCTCCTTCCGCACGCGCCTGCCCGCTGAGCCCCTCGCCCTCACCTACTCGCCCGGGGACGCTGCCTGCTACGCGCTGGCGCTCAGGGGCGGTGCCGTGGCGGTGCACTGCTCTGCTGACGCCTCGCTCACTGCCACGCTGCCCCACCCCGCCTCCTGCCTCGCCCTCTCCTTCCTCACTGTCAGCCTGCTCGCCCGCCCTGCCTCTCCCGTGCTGCATCGCATTGCTTGCTCTTCATCCCTCCCTCCTCGCTCCCTCACCTCTAGTGCTCCTGCTCCTCTTGTTACTTGTTACTGATTCCTTGCTCTGCACGGGCGTGTACATTTCCCACTTCCTGACCCGATGTCCCGTGCTTGACCCCAAGTCCCGTGCATGACTCCATGCTGTGACCTGCCCTGTCGCCGTGTCCCCTGCAGCCACACGTGGTGGTGACGGGTGGTGAAGAGAGGGCAGTGAAGGTGTGGGATGTGCGCCAGCCACCGCTGCACCCCACTGTGTGCGTGGCGGCCGCTCACAGCGCTCGCATCCGAGGCGTGCTGGGGGCGCTGGCAGCTCGACAGGGGGGCGCAGGGGGGGGTGAGGGTGAGGGGAACGAGCTGGCTGCAGCAGCAAAGGCAGGTCTGACAGCTTGGTGCAGTGAGGGGGGAGGGGGTGAGGAGGATAGGGAGGGCGAGGAGGAAGAGGGGGATAGAGGGAAAGGAGAGGAAGGAGGTGGCATGGATGGTGGTAAGCGTGGCAAGGAGGAAGGGGTAGCGGGGCGGAAAAGGAAGAAGAGGGAGAGCAAAGGGCGCAGCAGCAGTGATGGGGCAGCGGCAGAGTGGAGTGAGCATGTGGTTGTGTCAGCAGCATCGGATGGGTGCATTCGCCTGTGGGACCTGCGCTCCCTCTGCTCCTCCACGCTTGCACCTGCCACTGCACCCACCGCACCCACCGCACTCCCCCCTGGGTGCCTCTCTCAAGTGCTCACCAACGCGCGCCTCACGTGCCTTGCCCTCTCCGACCTCTCACCCCACTCAACAGCACCGCCGCCCCGTGCCGGCAAGAAGGCGGGTGGTGTGGAGGGCGGTGCAGAGGCGAGAAAGAGGAGCAAGCGTGGGAAGGCGTGAGCCTGAGGCTGGATGTCTGGATGGAGCTGCTGTGTACACAAGGCTTTGTGGCTTGACCCACCACAGCATTGCGCTACCATAGGATTGTAGACAGAGGCAGGTGTTGAGATGTATTTCCCTTTTTCATTATTCTGAGTTGGATTAATAATGACCTGCAATTTAGCCTGCACAAGAGGGCCCTTCGGCAATCCAACAAAGCCCGATCCAACAGCAGATATACAGGCGATGCAAAAGGCAAGGCGGGGCTTCATAATCAGGTTCAGTGGGAGGTTGGTGGGCACGAAGGTGGCAGCGAGGACAGGGTGGGTGGGTGGGTGGGTGGGTGGGTGGGTGGGTGGGTGGGTGGGTGGGTGGGTGGGTGGGTGCAGTGCAGTCCCTCACACAGAGCCGTTGCGCGGGTCTGGTTGGCCGGCATCTTCTGTCTTTACCTCGTTGAACACCAATGACAGCTGATGGGGATGGTGATGATGGTGATGGTGCATGTACACACAGGTTGGGGAAAAAGGGATATTGAATATACGGAGGAGGTGAAGGTGAATGCACTTGGAACAGAGGAGGCTGTGGGGCAACCTGCCCGTGCTGACAAATGCACCAACATCCCTACCACCACAGCCAACCTACAAACCGCACCCCACCTCCCTGCACCATACCCTTTCTCCCTCCCCACCCGTCCCCTCCCCCCATACCTCTCCACGGTAGAGCACCTGGGAGCCGTCGCGGGTGATGGTGGCCTTGCCATCCCTGGCATGCCCCGGGGAGAGTATGTGGTGCGAGCGGCGCCGCGCCTCGAGGTACTTCTCCACCGCATACCACCCGATGCCCGCACTGTTCACCAGCAGCCCCACCACGTTCGTCACGCTCATCTGCGGGCGGGATGGGGAGGGGAATTGGGGGGGAGGGGGTTGGAGGGGGGTGGGGACATGGGAGAGAGAAGCACAGTGTGTAGGGGGCGGAAGGCAGTGGTGGGTGGATGAGATACAAGCAAGAGGTGCATGAGATGAGACGAGAAGAGGTAGGTGCATGCAGGGGCGTGGGAAGTGGGGTGGGGGGTGGCACAGAGCAGGAAGGCAGCGGCATGGGGTGGGGCAGCAGGGCACTCACGAGCACATCCCCGAAGGCAAAGAGGCCGCCCAGGCCCTGCAGGATGGACTTGGTGCGACCTGCATTCGTGCATGCGGCCAGGGCGGTGGGGACAGAGACGCATCAACTGAGGTGAGACGCAGCAGTGCAAGACGTGCACATGCGCATGGCTGTAGTTGCGAGGAGCAACTGCGGCAAGAGTCCGGAGCAGGCACACAGCGATACGTGAGGGAGCGGGGGCAGAACAGAGAGGGGGGGCGAGGGAGTGTGGGCACTGACCGACGATGCTGGTGGTGAGGCTGTCGTTGACGAGCGTGCAGAGGTACGTGGCGAGGTTGAGCACAAAGGCAGACGCGCACGACAGCAGGAAGCACGTGAGGAACATGGGGTCCCGCGACTGCAGCACCTGCTGCACGGCGGGCAGCTCGCCGTTGAGGGCGAGGAGCAGGAAGGAGAAGGGCAGCGACCAGCAGTTGTTGTAGAGCAGCAAGGTGAACGAGTCCAGCTGCAGTTCCTCGCCCAGCTTCCCCACGATCACCACGTACGCCGCTGTCGCCAGTGCCGATGACAGCGCCAACACGTACCCCGGCAGGTCGAACGTGAGGTCGCCCGCGCCCGCTATGACGCCCCCCAGCGCGGTCATGTAGACGGAGAGCTGCACGCGCAGGGAGGCGCGCTTGGCGCGGAGGAGGAAGTCGAGGAGCAGCACGAAGGGCGTGGTGGCGGACTTGAGCACGCCGTACATGGGAATGTTCACCCGCGACAGCGCCGCCATGTCCAGCAGCAGCTTCAGCAGGAAGGCGAACGACAGCAGCGCCACCTGCAGGGATGGGGGGGATGGGGGATACGGTGGGAGGGATGAGGTGAGAGATGGGACGTGGGATGGTGGCACAGTGATGGGTAGCCTCACGGCCGCTACTGGTGCAGGAAAGCACATTCACATGCCATCCACTCCCCTTCTCATCGCGCTCTCATTTCCTTCCACTCCTTTCCCTCGACTCCCTTTTTCATCCAATCCCCTTCCCCTCTCATCCCTACCCCCCCCCCCGTTCTTCACTCCACTCCCCCTTCTCTCTGCTCCGCTCTCACATCTCCCTCTGCTGCCCAGAACCCCAAGCACCCGGCCCATGCGCGTGGGCCGCCCATGGGCACCTGTGGGCAAGGGGAGAGGGACATACCCGCTGTGGGCAAGGGGAGAGGGACCTACCCGGCGCAGGACGGAGAGGCGGAAGGGGGCGAGGCGGATGGCGCGGGAGAGGCGCATGGCGGCGAGCAGCAGCAGCGTGAAGAGCGTCTGGAAGAAGACGAGCGTGTAGGGGAAGGTGAAGCGGTACACGCGGAATATCGCCTTGTTCACAAACACCGCCGCCACCGACATGCCGCCTAGCAGGGGAAGAAGGGGGAGTTGCGGGGGCAGGGGGGGTGAGTGAGGGGAGTGGGATGGATGAACGCGCGGAGAGAGAGGTGCGCATTGCCGTGTGTGCTTAATTTCTGGACCGACATATCGCCTGCCAGAAGGGTGGGGAAATGAGGGGATAGAGAGCGATGAGTGAGGGGAGTGAGAGGGGTTACTGAGGGGAGTGGGATGGGTGAACGCGGGGAGAGAGAGGTGGAGCGAGGTGGAGTGGATGGGAGGCGCAAGGGGCGGGGTGGGCATGCACACAGGGGGGGAGTCACCCGGGTGCAGGCCAGGGTACGGCAGGGTGACGTGCAGTGCGGCGAGCTGCGACGCATAGCCGGCAGGCATGGCAGGTGGGCGAACGGGGCGCATGGGGAGTGGGCGGGAGGGAGGGCGGCGCGACGAGTGCAGGGAAGAGTTGTCCCAAAGAACCTGAGCGTACATGTCTAGAGCCTCCTTCCCGCTGCTGCTGTCCCGCCCTACGCGGCTTGACGCACCATAGAAGGCGGCGACGAGGAGCCCCTTGTAGTTCATTGCGACCGCGCCTCGCTAGAAGCAGCACTGGATTCAACCGATCGCCTTCGAATCGCTGCCTCCCGCCCCGCTCCTCTGCCTCCTCCCCCCCTCTTCCACCGCCTTTGCCGCCGCAATTCTTGCCTCCCTTTTTTCTCTCTCCCCTTCTCTCCCTCCCTCTACCTCAGATTTTATGTCTCCTCCCTTCCAGTTCTCTCTGCCCCTCTCCTCCAACCCTCCACCGCCCAGCACCGATCTTCACCAGGACAATGACTCCTCCACACGATCCCCACTCTTCCGCGGCCTAACCTGCCCCCCGGCGCGCTCTGTTTGCGGAACGGCGCGCTCCGCTAGGGAGTTATGGTGTTTGGCTGTTCCCTGCGTTATGCGTTATGCGCCATACGGCGCGGGCACGCCGGTCGAGGCATTGTGAGCGGCGTGCGCGACGGCGGGAGGATGTGAGAGGAAGGCGATGTGCTTTCGCCAGTGGCCGTGTGCGCGCGCGTCAGACGATGCCGAGAGTGGGTGAATGGTGCGCGGTGGGCGGGTGGTACTTGCACTCAATTGCGGATCTGGTAACACAGAACGAGGTCGTACTCTCGAGCGAGCAAGCTAGCCTTCGGGCCAATTGTGCCAATTCAAGAGGCTCGTCGTGACTAGCGAGTGTTGATCACAGCCGCTGCCACCAGCCACTCGCGCAAGATGCACCCACTGCACTTGCCATTGGTGCGTAAGGCAGAGAGGCATGTTGGTTGGTGGGTGGGGACATACCGTTGATAACTCGTTAAAGAGTGGCTACATTCCAAACTAATAATCAAAACACATACATCGCCTCACGAGCGTGAAGCTAACATGAAAAAATCTAGCACTTGTCACGTTACTGCACACCAACCATGGGGGCAAGGCGTAGAATTCCCAAGGCTTATTGACTCTTTTCTAATTGCCGAAGCCGTACCGCGTGAGTGCCAGCTTGTGGAGACATGCTGGCACAACAGTACCGCACACCCCACTCGTGCCAGCAACGGCCATCCTGTGCTGCATGCAAGGACTGTGAGCATAACCATCTGCCCATGGGCTTATTGTTTCATAGAGAATTGTGGGTGTGTGGGCCGGCTGCTGAAGGCAGGCACAGGCGTGTGGGTGGCATCAAAAAGCGTCCCCATAGCGCATGCGAGGGCGTGTGCGCATGAGGTCCCCCTGCAGTGTCACCACGCGCTGTGGTGCTTGTGGCCGGGATGCCCCCGCCGCTTGCTTTGGCGGCGCTGACTGCAGCAGCTGAGGTGGGAGGTGCAGACGAAACTCAGAGCCCTGCTTTGGGATGACTGAGGCGTGGAAAGGTGGCGGGCATAGGGGCAGACATTAGGGGAGTTGGGGTCTTATGCGGAGCAACCTAAGGAGACCGACCGACGGAGTAGCATGGATGGTATGGATTGAATTGCCATGGTATCAAGATCCATGACATGACATGGCAATGCATCCCACGGCACGGCACAGCATCATGGGGACACCATATACCTTTGAGGCGATCATCCTTCGTGAGGAGGTGGAATGCTGACGTGGACTCTGCCAGCACCATGCCGCCCACCCCCACATGGCCTGAGGAGGCTGCACGCGTCACTGGGAGGCAGGGCAGAGGGGAGCGATGGTGGTGTAAGGAGAACGGGCGATGCACAAGTGGGCGGTACACTCGCACGCACCACCAATGTGCACTCATGAATGGAGGAGTAAGCGGTTGGTGCTCGCCATGTGCTTGCTGCTCCCCGGATCTGTGCGCCGCATGCTGGCGGTCATTCCATGAGTGCGACCCCCCTCCCCCTCTCACCTGTGAGCATGGCGCCATGGAGGTCCATCGCTGCCACCCATGCGCACATTCGCCTGCGGTCACGGTGCACATGGCGGGGGGAAACGATAGAAGAACATAAGAGTGTCGGTGTACGGTATGCAGCGGGGAGCGACACAGAGGGCTGTGCAAACAAATGGAGGGCAATCGGGCGAGCGAAAGAGAGCGGGGGAGAGGAAGAGAGGGGGGTTGAGAGGGAGGGATGGAAGGAGAGTGTAGGGGAAAAAGGGAGTGAGAGGAGTGGCCGATGACTGCACTAGGTGCCCTGCCCACACACGCACTCACTCAGAGGCGGAGGCAGCAGGCCTGGCGGGCGTTGGCTGGTGTGCAGCAGCAGAGCGGCACAGGGCAGCAGCATAGTCGCTCCATGCTGCCGCCAGGGGGGCCAGACGGGTGAAGCTGCGGGGCAGGGCGGAGGCGAGAAGAGGAACATGGCTCTGGGCAGAAGGGATGGGTGTGGGGGAACTGGAGAAGCGGAAAAAGAAAGGAACATGGATGGTGCTCGCACATACGGCACTAGGACATGGCAACGCTGCCCTTCCTCATCCCTCCCTGCGCTTCCCCGACCCTGCTGTCTCCCCCTTCTTCCACCTTCTCCCTCTTCTTCCACCTTCTCCCCCTCACCTCACCTGCACAGCTCAGGCCGCGCCTTCAGCTGCCACACCAGCCGCTCCACTCCCCCCGCTCTGCTCCGCTGCCTGCTCCGCTTCCCCGCTTCCCGCCCGCCTGCCTCCGCGACACTTCCCCCGCGCCTCACCACGTCCTTCCCCGCGCGCTTCTTCCCCCCTGGCACCTCCAGCAGCACCTCTATGCGCGGAATACTGTAGCTTCCGCCACCGCCGCCAGCCTTGCGCCCGCCCGACGCGAGCAGCGCGCCGATGCGCGCCTCCACGCCCGCCAGCGGGTCGCTCGATGCGCCGCCGCCGCTGCCTCGTGCGGGTGCAACCTGACATGCGGACACGGGAAGCGCGACGTGCGCGAGTGGGGGGCGACGCGGATGGTGTGAGAGAAATCGAGAGCGGAGGAGGGAGCGGCGCATGAGCGTCGAGTCAAGGAGGCGCGACGAGGGTGCGGCGGAGGCCATGTGTCGAGTCGACTCACACGCCACTGACGTCATCTCACCGCGGTATCGGCGGGGCACACTGCGCGCATGACATCCTGCTGCGCGCCACTGTTCACTTCCGCATAAATCCGCGCCGCATCCCCGCCTCCCGCCTCCTTCCCCTTCCCCGCCTCGTTCTCCCTCCCCCGCTTGTTCGTCGCTCCGCCGCTGCCCCCATGCGCGCCCGCCCTCCGTGGAGGGGGCGGGCGCCCGCCAGTCGGCACGCGGGGGGGCTGAGAGGGAGGCATGCGGAGCGCGGTGGACGCAAGGGCACTCTAGTCGAGTGACGACAAAAAGACGATTGTTCGAGTGCACATTCGCCACCTCTTCCCGTAACAGAGTCTGCAAAAGAAATTTGTTTTGTATGCTGAAGGTATTTTTCGCAAATCGGAAGTAACACTTGAGCTCGTGCGACAGCATCTCTCCCCCGAGCTTTCGCCAACCCCTCAACCCCCACCCACGTCCACTCCCCAAAACCTCCCAGCCCCACCCATCAATTCCTTGGCGCATTCCCTAGCCCGCTCATCTCCCCTCCTCCTGCCCTTACATGGCCTCACTCGCCCGCTGCTCCCGACCCGCCCTCCGCCTCGCGCGCGTCGCTTCTCCGCCATCGCTTCTAACGCTGCGCCACTCGCCGCATTGCCTCGTCCGCCTCCTCCCCACTCTCCGCGCCGTTCTTCTCCCCCGCGCCACTCCCCCCCGCCGCGCGTCGTTCGCGTGCGCCCATCGCCACGCGCGCCCCCTGTCAGGCTCCGCGTACCTCAGCACCACCAGGGGAGACAGCCGTGCTTCAGGGGCAAAGGGGCAGCGGAGGGAGGGAGATCGGGAGGAGGGGCGCGCAGTTCAGAATAGGGGGAGAGAGAGGGGGGCTTGGCGGACGCGCGCGGGGCCGTTAGGATCTCGGGCGGACGATTTGACGGCGGAACCATCGAACGCAGCGGCAAGGGCAAGCGGCATTGCGGTTGGCGGTAGAGGCAGAGGGGCGAGCGCGGGGAGCGGAAGGGGGGTGGGCGGCGGTAGAGGTAGAGAGGCGGGCAGTAGTGGGTTAAGCCGCAATAGCGGGCAGCGAAGCAGCAGCGAGCGGGGAAACAGCAGCCGACCGCAGACTATTGCCGGCGCTGCAAGAGCAGCAGCCGCACGGAGTGGTCTGGTCACTTCCACGGATCGCAGCGGCGGGAGCAGCAGCGGCAGCGGCATTAGCGGCGACAAGGGCAGCGGCGGCGGCAGGAGCGACGGCGAGGGCAGCGGCAAGGGCGGGATGCCGAAGCGCAAGCGCGGGTACACGGCGGAGGAGGAGGCGAAGCGGCTGCTGAACCAGTGCAGCAAGCACGGTGACCTGCGCACGGCGCTGGCGCTGTTCGACGCGCACGTGGCGGGCACGGGGCCCGCGTTCAAGACGTACGAGTTCAACATCGCGCTCTACCTCTGCGCGCTCGTCGCCTCCTCGGGGGAAGTGGGCTCCGTCCCGCAGGGGGGGAAGGGGAAGGACGGGGGCAATGGGGCAGGAGCAGGATCAGGTGGGGAAGACAGCAACGCGGCAGGAGGGGGAGGGGGAGGGGAGAAGGAGAAGTGGAGCAAGGAGGAGGCGAAGGCGGTGGCGGCGGCGCGCGGAATGGACGTTTGGGCGGACATGCAGCGGAGGGGCGTTCCGCTCAACGAGGCCACCTTCACCGCCCTCGCGCGCCTGGCTTCCGCGCGCGGCGACGCTCCTATGGCGTTCCGCGTGGTGCGCGACATGGCGGAGCAGGGCGTGCCCCCGCGCCACCGCTCGTACGACCCCGCGCTGCTCGCCTTCTGCCGCCAGGGGGACCTGCGCGGCGCGGAAGAGGTTTTTCAACACATGGCTGCCCGCGGGCTGGCCGCGCTGCCCGAGCAGGTCGCAGCCCTGCTGGACGTGAGCGTGCGCGCGGGCAGCCCGGGCAGCGTGTACAAAAACATTCAACGAATGCGGAAAGTTGCGCGCGGGCTGCCCGAGGACGTGATTGGGACGCTGAGGGCGTGGTTTGAGTCTGAACGTGCGAGGCAGGAGGGTGTGGAGAGCGAGGGGGAGGCAAGGGCGGAGGGGGCACAGGAGGCGGGCAGCAAGGACGCGGACGCGGAGGGGGAGGGGGAGAGGGAGGCGCGGGGGGAAGGGGCAGAGGAGGGGCGGAAGGGGTGGACGCAGGAGGAGGCGGAGCGGACAATGGCAGTGAACGGGGGTGGATGGCACGGGCTGGGCTGGGCCATGCACAGGGGGGACGCGGCTGGGGGAGGTGCAGAGAGAGCGCAGAGGGGCTCATGGCAGGTACAGGACGTGCGGGTGGACGAGGGGGGCACGTGCAGCGGGTGTGGCACCCGTCTGGCCACCATCGACCTGGACGACGCGGAGACGGAGCGCTTTGCGCGCGCCGTGGACGCACTGGTGGAGGCGAGGGGCAAGGCGCGCGAGCTGGCAGCGTTCAAGGCGTGGCTGGCGCGGCACGGGCCGTTCCCTGCCGTGGTGGACGCGGCCAATGTGGGGCTGTACAACCAGAACTTCGCCCAGGGGGGCTTCAACTTCTGGCAGCTCCACTCCATCGCCAAGGCTGTCGCCGCCCTGGGGCCCGCAGGCTCGGGTGGAGGTTCGGAGGCAGGTTCGGCGGCGGCGCCCCCTCGGCTGCCGCTGCTGGTGGTGCATCACAAGCGGGTGAAGGGGGGCCCGGCAGCAGAGCCGTTTGCACAGCAGTGCCTGGCGCAGTACGAGCAGCAGCACTGCCTCTTCACCACCCCCACTGGCGCCAATGACGACTGGTACGCTGCTCTGCTGCTCTGTGGCCTGCTGCGCTGCAGTGCAAACCCATGTGCCTGTTGCCCTTGTTGCGCCTGTTTGCTCCCACTGCTGCCACGGCACGGCTCTCACGCCATGGCAGCAGGTCCACCTCTGCCTCGCCCTGACCCAACCTCCTGCCCCATTCTTCATGCTCCACCCGCCTCCCTTCCCTTCCCCCCCTTCCTCCTCTCCCCCTCGTGAGCAGGTACTGGCTGTACGCGGCCATATCGATGCGGTGTCTGGTGGTGAGCAACGATGAGATGCGCGACCACATCTTCCAGACGCTCGGCGCCGACTACTTCTCGCGCTGGAAGGAGCGCCACCAGGTGGGCGGGCGGATGGGTGGGAGGGGGGTGGATGGCGGGTGAAAGAGGGACGTGGTTGAGTAGCGAGGGCAGGTGGTGTGCTGCCATGGGGGCACCATGATGACTCGTGTGTGTTCCGCTCCTAGCACATCTCACACTCATGTGCTTTCACTCCCATTGCATGTTCATGGATTTCATTGTGGCATGGTGTGCATGGCATGGCATGGCATGGCATGGCATGGCATGGCATGGCATGGCATGGCATGGCATGGCATGGCAGGTGCGGTTCACGATGACAGCGCAAGGACCAGTACTGCGCATGCCACCCAACTTCTCCTTCGTCATCCAGGTCAGTCCGTCGCCGTGCGCCGCTCCCTCCTCCACTTCACGCCCCCCGCTCCCCTCCCTTTCTAACCTTGCATGCTCGTTGTTTCGTCACCATGCTACATTCAGCACCACTCAATCTGCGCCCTCCGCATCTCCCCCATCCACCCCACCCACCCTAACTTTCCCCATCCCCACCACCCCCTCCTTCCCCACCATCCCTCCCATTGCCTCATCCCTTGGTCTGCTTCTCCCTCGCCCTGTGCCCCCTGCATGCGCATTGCCGCCTCCCCCAGGAGTCAAGCAATGGCGGCTGGCACTTCCCCAAGGCGCACAGCGCAGGGGGGCAGTGCGGGGAGGGCGGGAGGGAGAAGGGGGAGAAGGGAGAGAACGGGGAGAAGCCGGCGGAGGGGGGAATGGGAGTGGAGATGGGGGGAGAAGGTGAGGGGGAAGAATGCGGGAAGGAAGGGAGGGAAGGGGAGGGGGCAAGCGGAGAGAGTGGAGGGGGGGTGTTTGACAAGTGGCTTTGTGTGCAGTGGAAGAAAGAGTAAAGGGGTGTGACGTGAGCAGGCAGTGAGGGATGTGTGCAGCCTACAGAAGGTGCCAGCACACTTGACAGGAGGCACCACGAGCACAACGAAGGAGAGCTTCCAAGTCATTGCTGCCAGATCAGAGGACGTTTAGTTGCTTGCTGTTCAGGATGCCATGCCTTTTATTTTGTAGAAAATGGTTAGGCATTATACTAGACTAATAAAGTCCTCCCCTGACAGCGTGTTCTCTCTCTTCTCTACCACATGCCATCACAATAGCCCCTAGTGCGCTGGTGGCCAATGCTCATGCACTGAGCTGAGCATCATCCTGAGCCATCCTCATGCCGCCCTACCCTATCCCTTCCCTATGTGTGTCCCCGTCACCGCCGGCCCAGCCTGTTTCCTCCACGCCCTGCCATCTTCTTCACGGCGTCCATCACTGCACAGCCCTGCCAGGGATGATGGTGGTGGTGTGGGGTTTGGCGGGAGCGCGGTGGGGAGCAAAAGAGGTTGGCATGGGGGCATGGCACGCTTGCGAGATGATGTGGAAGAGGAGGAGAAGCATGCCAACACCACTGCGTGCGCGCACGCAATGCACATCACTGCTTGCCACTCGCCGCTCACCAGGGCGGTGATGCCGTCGCCCACCCACATCGCCACGTCCACCGCCTTCCGCACGTTCTCGTTGCCTATCCTCTCCGGGTGGTAGCTGCCACCACACAATTTGGGAGAAGAGGGGGGACGGGAAGACAGAGCGGTGTGGAGAGAGTGAGAGATGACGCGAGTGGTGAGAAAACGGACCACGGGCAGGCAGCAGCCGTTGAGGCAAGCCCCCGGGCAGGCAGCAGCCGTTGAGGCAAGCCCCCGGGCAGCCCAGCCATCTACTGCACGTGGCTGGGAAGAGTAGCGTGGGCGGCAGCGCGGTGGCGCGATGGCAGTTCCGCCTCAGCACGGCGGGGCAGCATGCGCGCAGGCCACCGCGCTGCCCGCCGCTCGTCCTCCGCCGAAACTGCCCGTCGGTTGGCCCCCTCTCTTCCCCGCGCGCGGTGCCTAGACTGTGCGAATCTCAGCCTCGCCGCCCTCACCTAATCCACCCGGCTCGCCGCGCCGCCGACGCGAGCGTGACGCTGAGCGCTGTCTGGATCACCAACGCGTCGCCCACCCCCATGCCTGCCTGCCGGCCCGCCAAACGCGGCTCACCGGAAATCTATGTGGGTAGCTGTGGTGGTGAGGAGGAAGCGCGGACTGAGCGGGATTGTTGTGGAAGTTTTACGTGAAATGCCATGTGAGAGTAGCATAGTACTGTACCGAAGACAAAATTCACAATTCGACATCTCTACGCCGGAAAAGTAGACTATAATGTAGATTATGTACACTCGTGTGAATGCAATTACGGGTAATGCCTTTTATGAACAAACAACTGCTGACTTCCCTATGAGTCGTCACTAGTGAGCCGGTTGTCCTCGGCATCCTCATCCCCATCCCCATCCCCATCCGCACGCAAATCACCCATCTCCCCCTCCATGTGCACCTCGGCCTCCACCAGCCGTTGATACATCTGCCGCAATCGACGGCTGCGCAGCCACGTGACAAGCGAGAGATATCCAAAGCTCACAATGAGCACGCCCAGGCCCACGAACAGCGCAATCCACATGGGAGACAGCGCCTCTGAAGGCACGTACACCCACCTCTGCTCACACGCACCCACCAGCTCCGGTGCCGGCAGGGAGGCAGCGCCGGGGAGAGTGGGGCTGCAGTGGTGCGGCTGGCGCCATGAGTACGTGACGTTGTGGTTGCCATTGGCGTCAGCACAGTCCCCCTGGGTGCGGATGATGTCGCCTGGCTTGCATGGCTCACAGGGCTCGTCTGGGGGTAGAGGGTTGGAGGGGTTCAGCTGACAAACCTGGAGGGATGAGGGAAGGAAGGGGAGGAGGGGGGAGTGGGGCATGAAAAAGGAGAGAGAAGTGGTGGAGGAGCGTTGAGGGGAGACCGTGATGAAATGACAAGCCATTGGAGGTAACTGGACGATGAAAATGCAGTACAAAGGAACACCTCAGGGCGCAGAACACTCAGGCACTTTTTGAGTGACCTGACTCAAAAGCCACGCAGTAAACAGCAGCACCACATGCGTGCATGCAGCACAGCACAGCATACCCGGGGAAATTTCCACTTGTATGTGGCCCTTTTCTCGTCCATGCACTCTGCTGTCTCCACGCGCTCGTAGTCCTCATGCGAGCACAGCGGGCACGCAAACAGCGAGTACCACACGAGGCTGAAGGAGCAGTCACTCTGCTCGATGCGCTGCACCGCTCCCCCCCGTTGCGCGTACTGCGGGTATCCCAGCACCGGGTTCAGCGCTGCCATCTGCCCTTCCTCCGTCCATGCTTCTGGCTGCCCGTGGCCTGGTGGGGTTGGAAGGATGGAGGGTGGAGAATGGAGGGTGGATGGTGGTGGATGATGAATGGCGGATAGCTGGGGTGTGGTCTGTAAAATGAACAAACAGTGCTGCAGTGCCTGGCTACTCGCCACCATGCACGCACATTCTTCTCTCAAACCGCACCCCTCTCACACACTCCCCCCCACTCCACACACCAGCAGCGGGGTCACAGATGAAGGTGAGGTTGGTCTCGCGGGGCAGGTTGGTCTGCGGGCACTCGTCCCCTGTGAACGCCATCACCAGCCCGCGCCGGTACAGCCCTGCATGCACCGCTGCCAGCGGATAGACAGCCACTGCACTGCCTAGATTGTGCCCCGGCCGTGCTCCGCTTGTGGCCTCCCGCGGGTCCACCTGCATGGGATGACGCGCAGTGGGGACATGGGGTGAATGGAGGTGGGGTAATTGGATGAGCTGTGGGATGTTGGAGCGAGGGGATGAGAGAGTGGGGGAGATGGGGAGGATGGAGAGCAGGATGGAGAGTAGGGGAGGAGGTGGAGTGATGCAGTGAAGCAGAGAGTCAGGAGCAACACTAGCACATGACAGCAGCATGTTGGGTAACGCCCTCTGTACCTTGCATGCATAGGTGTTGAGTGACCGCCCTGAGTAATCGTAGCACGTGTCGTTGCTGCTGTCTCTATCGCACACACTCAACAAGTACTCCACTGCCTGGCCCCCCGCCCTGCTCCCCTTGCCCTCCTGCCCACCACCCCCTGCCGCCCCTCCCTCTGCAAGTTGTCCCCCCCCAGCAGCATCACCATCAGGCTCAGCAGCAGCAGCAGCATCGAGCAAGGGACCAAACATGCGGCCGGGGTGCATGCGAGACAGGGGAGAGAGGTCAAACACCACTGCCGCCGCCGTCTCATTGCCTCTCACAGCAACCGCCGTGCCACCCGCCGGCAGTGCCCCCCCTTCCCCTGCTTCCCCTTCCATCCCCCTCTTCCCCTTCCCCTCCTCCCCCTCCGCACCCCCTCCCCCCTCCTGCCCCGCCTGTTCATCCGCCGCTTTTTCGCCGAGGTGGGGGCTGCGCGGCAGCTGATCGGTGGGGAGGTTGAAGGTGCAGAAGGAGGCGGGGCGGGCAGCATCACCAATGAAGCACTCCGTGCTGCCCGCCAGGGACGACGTGCCCGCTCCACACGGCATGCACTCCCACTGCCGCCCCTACCATGCATGCCATGGGCACATGACACGCACAGTGGCACCAGAGGCACAGTCACAGGCAGCAGGGAGGGGGGAGATGGCGGAATGGAGGCACGGTGGGTGTGGGCCATAGGCATGTCGTGAGGATGTGCGGAACAAGTGGTTGGCATGGCAAGCATGGGATGCATGCCGCAGTACCACACAGCATCCTGCATGGATCGGAGTGGGCATGGACTGGGTTGCCATGGAATGGAGTGGGCGTGGCATGGCAGGGGCGCACCTGGGGCTTATTGTTGAAGGTGTTGGGTGGACACGGCAGGCACGAGGACGCACCGCCCTCACTGAAGGTGCCGGGGGGACACGGCACGTACGAGTCGCCCCCACCTGCTAGCGTTGACCCCGGCGGCACCTCCTCACACCGCGCTGCACCGCCGTCCGCCACTCCCTCTATCTGCATTGGATGAAAGACAGGCAGGCAGAGGTGGGAGCATGATGGCATGCAATCGTGCTCTGACTCCACCGGCTTATGATACGACACACAACTAGACCTGCCACCGTTAACACCATTTCACCATGCCACCATACCGTCATGTATGTGCATGTGCTTGCACAGCAACCGCACACGCACATGGATGTCACACGCACATGGATGTCACACGCACATGGATGTCACACGCACATGGATGTCACACGCACATGGATGTCACACGCACATGGATGTCACACGCACATGGGATGTCACACGCACATGGATGTCACACGCACATGGATGTCACACGCACATGGATGTCACACGCACATGGATGTCATACGCACATGGATGTCACACGCACATGGATGTCACACGCACATGGATGTCATAGATGACAGCCGAGTCGCGGGTGGTCCTGGTAGCAGCACCCGTGTCATCCAGCTTCTGCCACACCCACATCAGCGAGTGCCGCCCCGCAGTGAGCTCCCACATGCCACTCATGTGCGTCTCATCCTCCCCCGCCCCTGGGTGCTCCTTCTTCTCCCCGCCATCCTCCCACTCCACCCGTTGTTGCTGGCGGACGGAAGGGGCAGTGGGAGGGGGGGGAGAGTATGAGTGGGGAGGGACATGGGGAGCAGTTGGTTGGACAAGGGAGTGAGGATGGAGAGACACTGCTGCGCCCTGCATTGCACAGAATATGCATGGCATGACGGCTATGCAGCTTCACACCTCTAAGCACATCACCAGATTACCTCCAGATACTTGGACCATAACTTCATACGCTCTCACCTTCACATAGTCCATGACGTCACCTCCACATAGCCCATGACGTCACCTCCACATAGTCCATGACGTCACCTCCACAGTGCATGACGTCACCTCCACATAGCCCATGACGTCACCGCCGCATTGCTATGACGTCACCTCCACATCGCCCATGACGTCACCTCCACATAGTCCATGAGGTCATGGTCGATAAAGAAGAAGAAGGCCCGGCCCGGGTCGCCAGGGAGGATGTCAACGGAGTAGTTGAAGGACATGTACCCGCGCACCGCCATCTGCACGTCCAACGCCAGCCATATCTGATGCCACACGGGCGCCAGGGGTAGCAGTAGCAGCAGCAGTTGGGGGGGGGAAGGTGAAGGAGAAAAGGGGAGAGGTTACCACTGAGGCCAGAGGAATTCGAGAGAATAAAAAAGCCACTTGCGGCCATATTTGAAATGCCTCCAAAGCCACCAGTGGGCGTGTGCGGCTGCTGGAGTCAAGATGGTCGTGAACCGAGTCTACACCACTTTGGTGCCATGAGGCAGCGACCATCGCCCACATAACAACCGTGCAGCACGTGTGCGGTGAGCACGTCCGTCCTTTCTCACGCTGGCGGTGGGGCTGTGGCCCATGATCCATCCATTCGTCCATCCATGTCTCACCGTGGCGGTGGGCCCGTGGCCGCTGCCGGAGTCAAGGTGGTCCTGAAAGGCGCGCCAGCCAAAGGTGCCACAGTCGCCATGGCAGCCGGTGGTGAAGTTGGGCGGCAGGGCGCCGTTGGGCTGCATGGTGAAGTGCTTGAGTGACAGAATCTTCATCGCCACCTGCCCTGCGCTGCACGCCTCGCACCGCCCCTCTAAGATGCTGCCAGCGCTGCCCGCCCCCCCCTCGTAGCTCGCCTGCCGCGCTGTGCCCTGTGGTGATGGTAGGTGTGGGAAGAAAGGGGGGTGTGCAGGGGAGAAGGGTGCATCAGTAAGGTTTGGTGGTCGAGCAGGCAGCAATGGGTAAATAGGGCAGAGGGAGCATTGGGGGCGCAGGCAAAGAAAGCATTGGATGGTGCGGAACGGGAGGGAAGACTCACGGGAGGGCAGAGCGTGCAGCGAATCTCCCCTGACTGCGGGTCGGGCTCTGCCTGCTGGCCGTCAGGGCATGGCTCTGATGGGGCGAGATGAGACACGGTGACGGCATGGGAGGCATGGAGGAGAGAGGTGCAGGTGGAGGAATGCTAGTGGCTGGGCCTAGTGGAGCGGGAGGAATGGCACCGTGTGGGCATTGGAGGCCGTAGCCCGGCATGGCTTGGCATAGTTGGAAATGGTGTGGCGTGCATGCATGGCATGGCATGGCATGGCATGGCATGGCAGCTCACCACAGTCAAGGGGCATGTCCATTGGGAGAGTGACGTTGGAGGGGTCACAGATCTGAGGCTGGATCCACTGCCACTTCTGCATGCATGCATGCACCATCCATGCATAGCACATGATGGAGGGAGGCAAGAAGCATAGTGAGGAGACATGCACGGACGGATGTCACGGGCAGCCCACGCAGTGATTGCAAGAGGGCAGAGGCATGGAGAGACAGCCATGGCGTGGCATGGCATGGCATGGCATGGCATGGCACGGCACGGCACGGGCTCACCATGATTCGCTTCTTGGAGGCGAGCTGGCATGGCGTGTATGTGATGGTGGAATCGCTCACACTGCATGCTGATTCGTGGTGGGGGAAAGGGAAGAGAAGGGAGGTGGCATGAGGGAGAGGTATGAGATGAGAATGCGTGGTGCGAGGGATGGCAAGGAGCGAGTGACAGGAGGCCACACATGTGGCAATGGTGGGGTGCCTTGCAGGCTCACGAGAGCAGGGTATGCAGGGTGAAGAGGGCAGGGCTTGCAGGCTCACGCAGGCGGGGCTTGCAGTCAGTGCGGGGGACGATGCGCGCATAGGCGCTGCTCCCACATGCCGTGCACTCTGATGCCCCCTCCCTGCCATGGGTGCATGCACGCACATGCACATGCACATGCACATGCACACGCACATGCACATGCACATGCGCACGCACATACACATGCACATGCGCACGCACATGCACATGCACATGCGCACGCACATGCACTTGCACACATGCACATGCACATGCACATGCACACACACATGCACACGCACATGCACGCGCACACGCACATGCACACAGACATGCATACTCACACGCACATGCACAGGCACAGGCACACGCACACGCACATGCACATGCACATGTGTGAGAGGTGTGTGAGCATAGAGCCTTGCACATGGCAACATGGACGGGTGGACCAAAAGGATGCCCACGGTATGGACATATCATGTGGTGACTTGGTTAGATTGAAGACTCCAGTCCGTTGACTCTTGTATGACTCACCTGGAAATGGTGTTCTCAGAACACGGCTCACATGCACCCGCGCCCTCCGCACTGCTCACATGCACAGGGACACGTGGGGGGATGTGGAAAGAGGCGGGGAGAGGGGGGAAGGGAATGAGGGAATCAGGGGATGAGGGAAGGAGGCGGAAAGGAGAGGAGGAGAGGAGAAAGGGACGAAGGGTGGACGGAAGGATGGGGGGCAGGGAGGGGGGAAGGCAGGGAGGAGGGGAGGTAGGAGTGGCAGCAGGGCAGTAGGCAGGAGGGGAAAACATTGCAGGTGGTGCATGCGGAGAGATTGATTCGAGCAAGCACGCAGCATTGAAATGGCATTGGCAATCCGCCACGGAAGGAGTGACTCGTACACGTGCTATCGTGTGCGCCAGTGCAAGTGTCTGCAGGGTTTGGGCCCCAGCAGGGCAAGTGCAAGTGCGAGTGTGAGCAGGGGTTTAGGGCATAGGGTTTAGGCGGGAGAGTGGCGACCTGTAGAAGCCGGCGGGGCATGGCGTGCAGTGGAAGTCATTGAAAGCCACCCCGTCCACCTCTATGTACTGCCACGTGGTGAGGGGGGGAGGAGGGGGGTTGCGGTATGTGTGTGTGTGATGAGATGAGACAGCATGGCACATGGATGACATGGATACATGCGGAATGTGAGCTTGCATGGCATGGCATGGCATGGCATGGCAATAAGGGTGTAAAAACGAATACGGGTTCGAATGCGGTTATCTTAGACGAATAATTGTCGAATACCTGGCTGTTTTTGTATTTGTTCGAATACCTGTCCCTCCACGAATTCGAATACGATTTGAATACATGGTGTGTCGAATACGGTTTCGAATAAAATTAGGTTGCGCAAACAAATATCTCGTGATTCACGGTGGGTCTTAAATGCATAGTGAAGTACCATTAACCCCCTTTTACTCTTACTCATTGGCCCCTTGCTCAGTGAACATGGCTCTGATGGCCGATCTGTAAGGTCCTTTGTATTGTTTTCTCAAGATTTCATGAATAATAGCGGCTGGGTTGGATGGTTCAGTAACTTAAAAGCGAATCGAATATGCATTCGAATAACCGGTTATTTGAACCGAATACTCGAATACTTGAACGTCGAATAGTTTCGAATAGTAAGGGGTATTTGTATTTGTTTTGTATTTGATATTTGTCGAATATCGAATACTAATACGAATACAGTGGTTTTTGTTTACACCCTTACATGGCAATGGTGCCTGACCGGGATGGTGGCGATGTCTTCCCCCTTGCTCCACTTGTCATCCTTGCTGTACACCCACACCAGCCGGTGCTGCCCCGCCTCCACCGGGAACGCCATCTCACGTGGCTCAAACTGGAACGCACACACGCACAGCAGAACAATGGAAGGAGTAGGTTAGAGCGTAAGCCGCACACTTGAGGTCTCATGAGGGACGGCGATAGGAGGGAGATGGGAGGGAGGCAACAAGTGGGAGGGAGGTCATAAGAGGGGCTAGCCATAGCTGGTACCTGGTAGGAGGTGAGCGCCATGAGGGGCTGTGAGAGCGAGTCGATGTAAAAGGCAAGTCCATCGTGGCCCATCTCTGCACTCACTGTGAAGTTGAACTTCACGTACCTGTGCAGGGCGGGATGGAGGAGAGGGGAGAGGAAGGAGGTTGGGGGGGAAAGGATGAAAGGAGGGAGAGTGGAGGAGCGGTAATTGGTGCAGAGGGATGGTGAGATCAAGCTTTTCATTGACGTGCCATCTTCTTTGCTTCCCTGTCCTGCCCTTACCCACCCTCTCGCCTTCCTCCTGTGCATCCCCCTGTCTGGACCCCTGTTTCGCCACCACCACTCCCTGCACGCACTGCGACCTGCCTACCAGCCGTGCTGCTGCCTCAGCCGTCTCTCATGCGGTGCACCGTGCACGTGAACGGAGAGCGAGACCTTTTAGGCGCCCCAAGAACAGCCTCCCTGGCAGCCGTGCATTCACCGTCTCACCCGTCTCTGACGAGGTGCACGTCGAGGGAGAGCGAGGAGCGCAGGTTGTTGTGGCAGTTGTATGCCGGGTCTGATGCACACACCTCCTGGTGGTACCGGGTCAACCAGGTTCGGGGTCAAGGAGGTTCGGAGTCAAGGAGGTTCGGAGTCAAGGAGGTTCGGGGTCAAAGAGAGTTGGAGCCGAAGGGGCTGGGGAGAGGCAGTGAGGGGCACAGTGCAACAAGAGGCAAGGGGGAGGGGGGAAAATGAAGGAGGGGGGTGGCAGAACATGTGTGTGAGTGAAGTAGTGGCACACACCTCATGCCTGTGGGACTAACTAGGGGGGAGTCCCACTGCGAGCCTCTCATTTCTCCTGCCTCAGGTTAAAAGCATCTCACAGGCAGCCAGTCGTTGATGTAATCGTATGCGCCCGCCTCAAACGCACCATCGTCCGCATACCAGCTGTGGCGTCAGGGCGGGGAAACATGCAGTCAGGGCGGGGCCATGCAGGCACAGAGGCGAGTGGAAAATAAGGCGAACGGTGAGCAGTGCAGTGGGGCACACAGGTTGGGTGGGCAGTAAGGGCGATGCAGATGAAAGCCGCTGAAAGGCAAGAGCAGCAGGTAGTGAAACACAAGCTCCGCACTTTGAGGGAGCAGCAGCACAGCGGGGAATGGTGGGTGGAGGGAGCGTGTGGGTGTTGGCATGGGCGGGGTGGGGAGCAAGAGGGGCAGCATGGGTGGTGAAGGGCAGGGGGAGCAACGTACGGGTCGCAGTGGAAGGTGCCAGACGCGTTGGTGAACCTGCACTCCGTCTGGGGTGGGGTGGGGGTTCAGCAGGGGGGGTTGAGCAGAGGGGGTGGCAGAGGCGTGCACTGCTGAGGGCTGGAGAGAGAAGAGAGAATTGACTGGGTCCACCTGAGGCGCGTTGAATGGGCATACGAGAGTGAGCAGCGTGAATGGGTGTGTATACACGACAGCATGATGTGGTATCAGCCATTCCGCACGCCATCCCTGTGTGCTCGCCCTCGCCTCATGCCATGCCATGCACTCGCTACCATGCGCGTCCTCACAAGGCACGCCATGCCATGCGCAGGCTGCACTGCACTGCACTGCACTGCACTGCACTGCACTGCACTGCACTGCACTGCACTGCACTGCACCTTGAAGTAGCGGGCGTCGATCTCAGCTATGTTCTGGAACCGCCATTTCCCACCCATGCTGTACGTGCCTGGTGCGATAGATAGATATAGGGAGGGTGGAAGGGGTGTGGCACAGCACGTGAGTAGGACAGCAGCAAGCAAGCACCTTCCACTGCACCTGCTCCTCTCGCCCCTTCCTGCCATCCCAGCTTACAAGCCATCGCTTCTCCTACTTGCCTTCCCTTCCCCTGCCCTCGCCCCATCACGCTCCACCCATTCCTCACATCTTAGATTCTCAAATGCGAGCGGGGGGGGGCTGCACACACCTGCAGGGCACTTGTGGCAGTGGTCGTGGTGCAGGTAGTGCCCTGCCCCGCACTGCATGCCTGCCGCGCGTGCAGGGGACGCAGGGCGTGAGGGGAGTGAGGGTACGGTACGGAATGAGTGGCGTGAGGGGCAAGGCACTTGCAGAAGGAGTGTGGCAAGCAGTTACGGGGAGTGTGGGGGTGATGAGCCGCAGTGCAGGGTGGAAACAGCAGCACAGATGAAGTGGTGGCAGGTGTGGGATAGGTGTGAGAGGGTGGGAATAAGAGTGTGGAATAGGAGCGGTGTACCGCAGGGAATGAATGTGGTGGGGGGCAGGTGCACGGAGCCCCGTCTGTAGGGGTCGCACTCGTGGTTGAAGAAATAGATCACCTGAGCAGGAACACATAGAAAGGGCGAGAGAGGAGGAAGGGAAGAACGGTGGGCAACAAGGGGGCACGTGGTGCATGCATGCATGCATGCAAGAAGGGGAATGAATGAGGCACGACAAGTGGTGGACGCGGGATGTGAAGGAGTGGAGGGCAGGAGGAACAGAGCGAGGCAATAGGAGCACATGGGCAGGATAGAGGGAGGGAGCAACCCAGGTGCACCTCAACGAATGGTGTGGCGGAGATGTTGAGCCCAGTGAGCGGGTCACGCATGAAGTCACAGTCGGAGTATATGGCATCCACATGCGCCTCCGTGCATGGCGCTTGTGATAGCCCTGCATGGTCTGCATCGCATGGCATGGCATGGGATGGCATGGCATGGCATGGGATGGCATGGCATGGCATGGGATGGCATGGCATGGCATGGGATGGCATGGCATGGCATGGGATGGCATGGCATGGCATGGGATGGCATGGCATGGCATGGGATGGCATGGCATGGCATGGGATGGCATGGCATGGCATGGGATGGCATGGCATGGCATGGGATGGCATGGCATGGCATGGGATGGCATGGCATGGCATGGCATGGCATGGCATGGCATGGCATGGCATGGCATGGCATGGCATGGGATGGCATGGCATGGCATGGCATGGCATGGCATGGCATGGCATGGCATGGCATGGCATGGCATGGCATGGCATGGCATGGCATGGCATGGCATGGCATGGCATGGAATGGCATGGCATGGCATGGCATGGCATGGGATGGCATGGCATGGGATGGCATGGCATGGGATGGCATGGCATGTGGGTGGTGCATGGCAGTCATCGCATGTGGGTGTGTGCGAGTAGCATTCAAATGGGAGCGGTGTGTGTGTGTGTGACATGCATGGCATGGCGCATTGTGTTCGGGCAGAGAACCTGAGAGGGAGAACAAGGCATTCAAAATGGAGTGAAGGGGCAAGGCGTTGAGGGAGATGGGGGGGGGCGTGGAGGAGTGGAGGAGGAGCACTGACCGCAGTAGACCTTGTCCACTGGGATGACCTCTGACTGCTGTGCTCCCGTGCAGTCTGACCACGGCCACGCAGCATATGAGGATGGCAGGGCAGGGTGAGAGGGATGGGGAAGAGGAGAGGAACAAGAGGTTAATCTTGGTGGGAGGTTAGGAGGAAGAGGAGAGTGTCATCAATGCAGACTGATAGGCATGTGTTGATATTTTTGCATGCTGCATGCATGGTTGATGGTGTATACACTCACTGCTTGGCAGGTAGTGCATGTTGCAGGCGGCACCATCATCAGAGGGCGTGTAGATGACGTCATAGTCTTCTGGCGTGCATGCTGCCAGGCACAGGCACAAAGGGCCATGGGTGGATCAGCATGAGGAGGGGGGATGTCAGTTGATGGGCTAGTAAAAAGGCGAGTTGGGGGTGATTCTGCAAGGAGGCCGGAAAGGGATGGATGGGTTGAGGCCAACGTGGCTTCACTCTGTCTGTGCACATGGCGTCATTCGCACTTGCTGCACTCACTGCACTCCTCCTGCACTCACTGCACGGCTCCTGCTGCACTCACTGCACGGCTCCTGCTGCACTCACTGCACGGCTCCTGCTGCACTCACTGCACGGCTCCTGCTGCACTCACTGCACGGCTCCTGCTGCACTCACTGCACGGCTCCTGCTGCACTCACTGCACGGCTCCTGCTGCACTCACTGCACGGCTCCTGCTGCACTCACTGCACGGCTCCTGCTGCACTCACTGCACGGCTCCTGCTGCACTCACTGCACGGCTCCTGCTGCACTCACTGCACGGCTCCTGCTGCACTCACTGCACGGCTCCTGCTGCACTCACTGCACGGCTCCTGCTGCACTCACTGCACGGCTCCTGCTGCACTCACTGCACGGCTCCTGCTGCACTCACTGCACGGATCCTGCTGCACTCACTGCACGGCTCCTGCTGCACTCGCTGCACGGCTCCTGCTGCACTCGCTGCACGGCTCCTGCTGCACTCACTGCACGGCTCCTGCTGCACTCACTGCACGGCTCCTGCTGCACTCACTGCACGGCTCCTGCTGCAGTCACTGCACGGCTCCTGCTGCACTCACTGCACGGCTCCTGCTGCACTCACTGCACGGCTCCTGCTGCGCTCACTGCACGGCTCCTGCTGCGCTCACTGCACGGCTCCTGCTGCACTCACTGCACGGCTCCTGCTGCACTCACTGCACGGCTCCTGCTGCAAGGGCTGCACGGGGAAGGGGTCGGTGCAGTTGCGCACCTTCACAAACGACACTGTACGCCGCCCTGCACCTGCACTCCACTCCGCAGGGCAAGGCACGTGGGGAGAAGCAGAGGGAGAGGAAGGGGAACGCGGAGGAAGGGACCACCAGTAGGAGGTTTGGGGTAAAGGAAGGACGGATACGGTTCAGGTGATCGCGAGCTTTGTGTGATTTGAGAGTCGACTTAAAAAACGCTGAAGTAGCAGCGAGTGGTAACAGCGAGTTGGTATGTGTATGTCTGGTGAGGACGAAGGCACAGACACCACACTAGCCACATTTCGCGAGGCGAACACAAGCCAATCTCTAGTTAGAAGAGCGCTGCTCACTGTCACATGCGCCCGACTGCCTAATGTAGTCCGTCAGCCCGCACGTCGTCGACAGCTGCTCCGCCTCCTCGCGCGACGCTTCCGCGCCCCCCTTCTCATTCGCCGGCGCTCCGCTCACGCTTTCTCCCCCCGCAGGGGAAGGAGGAGGCGCGGCTTCCGGGGAAGCAGGCAGAGCGGGAGTGTTATTCCGCTCATCGCTGTTCGGCTCTGTCCTGTTTTCAGCAGGCGGAGCCTGTGGGGGAGCCGACAGCTGCGGAGGCTGCTGCACCGGCGGCTCCGCGGATGGCTGGGATGCCGGCGCGTTCGCAGTGCTGAGAGATTGTCGATCATTCAAGGACTGCGGGGATCGAGCCGGAGAATGTGCGAACAATTCGGACTGCATTGGCGGCGATGCTCGTGATGGAGTCTGGCTGGACGGTTGCTGATCGACAGATGATGGGAAGGTTGCTTTAAATCTAAATTGTGAGCCTGAGACGGCTTGCGACTGCTGCGGCAATCCCGAGGGTTGCCCGCTTGGAGGATCATTGGCCAGCGAAGGCGGAATGGACACCAGTAAAATTGCTAGAACGGCCGTAACCGTGAACCAATCAGCCATTGGCAAATTGATGCCCGCAATTCGAATGCCTTCTTCACGAACTACTCGGCCCCCTAGAATGTAGGGGATAATGCTACCTCCATTCCCAGAGTTATCTCCTGAGCATGCGTCAGGGTGGGATGATATCACGGGGTTCGTGCCGTCAAAAGGTGGTTGCGGTTTCAGCGTGGAAGATAGGTGCTCGCAATTTCTAGTAACTGCATCTCGCAACCAATAGCATCAAATGTGTCGTGGGCGCAGTCGTTCCACCATCCTTCCCCTCAAACCTCCCGCTTCGCCATTGTCGAAAGCTTGCGGCTACATGTAGAAAAGGTAGTCAGGTTAGAAGAGGTTTCGGTGCTGTTTTCAGGTTTATTGATGTATTGAATGCATCAATGCTTTTGTAAGGTCATTTGAATGAAAATAACAATACGTTAACCCAGTTCAGGAGATATTCTTGTAGGATTACCTTCTCTGTGATGTATATCTTTTGGATTATTCGCATAAAGTTCTCCTAAAACTTTCACCATACGTGCATGTTGGTAAATATCTTCCCTAAATTAATTGAACATAGTTATCTGGTGTTTTACAATGTTTACAAGGCTGCCACAAAATGAAACTCAAGCATTCGCGCCGCCGTCGGGAACGGGGAATTGGGCAAAAGCAAAGTCAAGCCGCGTCATCCCAAAATGACCGTTCCAAATGTTCGGTCCTCCTCATTTCCTCCCGTTGCTTCCCACCACCACGGTCCATCCATACCATACACTCCCCATCCCCAAAGCCTTCGAATCCCTTCCTCATCCCACCCCACGTTATCGGTTTCAGTTTCCCATTTTGACAACAGAGAGAACCCGTTCGCGTGACGCATTTGCATTCCTTGTTCATCCAGCACTTCGGAAACTCAGAGACTTGGCACTTTCAGAATCACAACTCGCGTAGATTAGCCGTTTGACATGCGCCTCCTGCAGCCCCCTTGGTGCACTTTCCATCGCAATGGCTGTAGGCAGTGGACGATTAGTACATGAGAGCATATCGGAATATGACGTGCTAACGTCGTCGCCATCCAAAGCCGTTTTAAACTTTGTCCATGGAGAGCACGATGCGGCGTCTAGCTCCGTGTCGCCTCTATCCATGTCGCTGTCGCTGTCGGGCACTTTCAGCTGCGACAGTTCGCGTTTCAGCTGCGACGGCGCGCCTGACGACACGGGCTGGGAGAGCCCCTCGGATTGCGGCGCTGACGCGGTCTTCGGCGCGCAATACGGGGACCGCCCCGCCAGCCGTAGGCGGAGCTTCGCAGGCGCGGGCACGAACCTCTCGATCGGACGGCTGTCGGATGGGCATTTGAGCCTAGAGCGTGCGTGCAAGTCGGCGACGGTGCCGCGCGTCAGCAGCCGCCTGCTGGCCCCCACGCAGTCATCGCAGGCCAAGTCGCGCTCTCACGCCCATCGGCGCGCAGGGGCGGACGACGGGGCGGTGGGGCGCGAACCGTTCAGCACCTTGTCGCAGCCGCGGAGGACCAAGACTGTCACGGCAGCAGCAGGAACGGCCCGCGGAACGGCGGCAGCAGCAAACTCAAACGAGCGTGTGCATGCGCTGATCTGTAGCCCACCTCGCGGAAAGATTTCAGTGGAAAAATCGGCACAGAACGTGGCAAAAGGCGGGCAGCGCGGGCAGGGGCGGCGACTGTCTGACGCGAGTGAGAATCTGGCGCTCAAGCTGGCCAAGCACCGACAGGGGCTGGGGGTGGTGGGCGCCGGAGATCCCAAGTCGGGTGCTGGTGGCGCCGCTGCCGCCCCACAGGTGCCACGTGGCGGGAGGGTGGGATCTCGAGCGGGGGCTGCGGCTCCGCCCGGGTCCCGCAATGCGCTGGCAGCGGACAGGAAGCCTCTGGTCGCGGGATCTGCGGGGAACGTTGCGCAGAGCCGCGTTGTGGGGGGGGAAGTGAAGCCCCGACAGCGCCTGGCGGACGGGAAAGGCACGCCTGGTGGTAGCGGCGGACGAATCCCCGCGCATGGCGCACCGGACGGGGGAACGGGGCTGCGGGGACACAGTGCGGGGGGATTAGGGATCGGTAAGGGGAAGAACGAGAAGCTGGTAGTGGGGACTGTCGGAGTGGGAAACGGGGGGAGGGGCGTGAGCGCGGAGCAGAGGACGAAGGAGCGTAATGAAGGGCGAGAGGCAGCCCGTCACACAGAGCCGTCCGGGACGAGGGCCTGTGGACGGCGGGTAGCTGCGCAAGGCGCGGGAAGCAGCTGTGGTGCGAAAGGCACGCAAGAGCGCGGTCAAAGTAAGGAGATCCACTCTGCACCCCATACGGCATCGCTGACTGCCCCCCACGCGCAGCATGCTCCTTCGTCCCAGCACCCGCCTCCTCCCCATGATCAACCGCCTTTGATCACGCAACTAGCTGGTAACCAGCTCATCAGCCAAACCACCCACGCGCCCTCCACCACCTTCACGCTCCCGCCCAGCCTCCTTCCCCTCCCGCTCACCTTCCCCTCCCCCTCCCCATCCTCCGCGGGGTCCGCGGACGACGCGGACATGCCGTGGGCGGAGCTGATAGGCGACGTGCGCGGCATGGAGCAGGACGTGCAGTATGTGCGCCACGCCATGCTCGCCGCTGGCTTCCTCTCCGACGCCCTCCCGCCGCTCTTCTCCCCGTACCTCCCCATCAACCCCGCCTTCTTCCACCACCTCGAAGCCGCCTTCCTCATGCGCTGCTGCGCGCACGCCCCCCACGACCCGGCTCTCCTCACCACCAGCCTGCCCTCCCTCCCTCTCGCCATACCCGCGTCATACCACGAGGAGCGCCGACAGCGCATGCTGCTCTTCGACGCCGTCAACGAGGCCCTCGGCCGCCGCCTCGCGCCTTTCCTCCCGCGCGCGCCGTGGTCCCCCGCGCCCGTGCAAGTGGCGCCGCGCAGGCGGCCTTTGGGCATGGAGCTGGTGCAAGAGGTGTGGTCGGAGATTCACTCGTGGCCCGTGGCATCGACTGATGAGGTGTACACTGTGCTGGATGAGTCAGCGAGGCGTGACCTGTGGAGGGGCACGGAGAGGTGGCGTGCACAGGATGTGGCGGAGGAGGAGCCGGGTGTTGTGTTTGATGTGGAAGGGATGCTGCTGGAGGAGCTGCTAGAGGAGGTGTGTCTGGAGTTTGTGGAGGTGGAGCAAAGGCGGGCGAGTAAGAGGATGTCAGTGCACGGGGTGGTGAAGGCACATATTGCATCGTCGGGATTCGTATGTGCGACTCATGTGAAGGGATCTGGAAGGGATGGAGTGGTGGCACTACTTGGTCCTGCTTGTCCAGCTGCTGTGAGCAAGAACCTTCTTCGGCTTCCAAGGATGTGATGAGTTGCTAAGAGGGAATAAAATATGTTCATAAAGTTTCAAAAACATAGTGTCAGTTTTGCTGCTTTGCTGTTTCTTGCTGCTGCTGCTGTTAGTACTATCGTAGAATTTATTGACACCCTTCTTGTTCTATATAAGCTCCATTTTTCTTGTCACTCATGTCACTTGCACTACATAGGAAACTCTTGATAAATTATTATGGGAAGAAATCGTCTTAAGGATAAAGTGAACACTGTAGAGAAACTCGGCAACGAACGTGATTGAACTGTACCCAGGGGAGTTTCAAGCAGACCCGCCACAGTCCCCAAACGAATATTCCCTAGAAAAAGTGCCCCACCTCATGCTCGAGAATGCCGACGGATCAGGCAACTCGAATTTCTCCAATTTATCACCCAACCCATCGTTGCTTGCTGCTACTCCAGTCATAGCTCCTCGTGTTCGTGAGCATCCTCATGACTCTATGTAGTCCTCCGAAATAATTAGTTTATTACAGCAATTGCCACGCTCTTCGCGACCTCGCATCTGACCGACATGCTGCATGCTCCATTGGACTGAATCTCCATTTTCCTAGACCACCACCGGCACCATCAGCCATTGCGTTATTGGTCGACATCCTCCTGATATCGCCTACATTGCAACTACCATTCTGATATGTAAAGACGGCCGCTTTGACGCTATTACTAGGACCTACTAGCCTCAAGATCCCGCTCTTATCGCAGTCATGGCGGAGAGGGATCAAGACGCGTCGTGTCCTCCCCCTGCCTTGCAGTCGGCACCAGACGTTCCGAATTCCCCGCCGTCAGCGTCCGGGTCTCCCGAGGCGGCTGACTCGGGGTGGGTGCGGCTGGTGCACGTGGAAATCGCAGGCGCGCGGAAGCTTCTGCCCAGGGACGGCGCCTCCTCCAGCCCCTTCTGCGTCGTGCGTACCTCGTCTGCGTAGCGCGTCGGCGTCTTCTGGTCGCAAATCCTCTTTGGACGCTCAAGCACTTCCGCTCTTTATGTGGTGTGATGGCATGGTATGGTGTGTCATGGCATGGCATGTTATGTCATGACATGGCGTTGCACGGCATGGCATTGCACGGCATACATGGCATGTGGTGGGTGGCAGGTGGAGTTCAACGGTCACACGAAGCGGACGCGCACAGTGGAGAGGGACCTCAACCCCGTGTGGGACGAGAAGGTGTGATGGGGGAGATGAACGCTCACGTACTATGGAATTTCCCCTTATGCGCTCGATTAAGCAATTTTCCTTGAATTATGCTCTGAAACCGTGTGATTCATTCAGTCCCTTTTGTCACCATATTTCCTACTGGAGTGACCCACCCAATAAGACAGATATTTGATAAAATCGCGAGACAACACCCTAGCCTGCTTAGGTTGATTGAACCCACAAATTCCTTTCCAGTTGCCATCCTCTCCACGTGTTCTCTACCCCGTCACTCCCCTCCTCCCCTCCCCCTTCTCCAGTTCGTGTTTTCAGTCCCCCTGCCGTCGCCCCTCAATCCCGCACTGGCCGATCACCAAGAGCCGGTCCACGTCACCATCTACACCCCCTCCTCTGCCACCGCCCCTCTCGTTGCGGCCGGCAGTATCTCTGCCAGCCTTCGCCGCCCGGCGGTGGGCTTCGGCAGTGGGGGGGCGGCTGCAGATGCGGAGAGAAGCGTGTTTCTGGGAAAGGTGCAGGTGAGCGGTAGAGGGAGAATGCGCAGGTGAAATCTCTGCAGGGTAGGATGCTGAGGAAGGTGCGTGAGAAGAATTTGGTTGGGAATTTGGTTGGGCGTTGACAGGCAGTGTGGAATCTGGGTGTGTAAAACGCAATTACTTGTGGAAGGAGTGGATGAAGATGCAAAGAGAGAGGGGAACCGGGTGTGTTGTGGCAGATGTATGAAGTTCAGGGAGGGACGTAAGGAGAGCATTTGTACTTCTTCCTCTCCCTCCCTTAACTTTCCCCGTTCACCTCCACACACACACACACACACCCCACACAGAGACACACTCGCACACACACACTCACACACACACTCACACACACACTCACACATAGACGCACACACATTTCCTTTTCCTCTCGTCTGGTCACATCCTCACATTGCCTGCCCTTCCCATGCCCCTCTCCCCCTCCCATTGCCCATAACCCTCATCCACTCCCTCTGCCATAACCCTCACCCCCTCCCCTCCCTCTGCCCATGCCCCTCTCGCCATCCCCACACCCCACTGCCCCACCCCACCCCAGGTGCCCGTCCGCATACATGCCCCTGCGCCCAACATCCCTCTCCACCCCTCTGCACCCCTCGCGTGGCTGCCTCTTGAGCGCCGCTCCCTCGTCAACCGCGTGCGGGGCGATCTGGGGTGAGATGGGGGGAGGGGAGGGTGTGGGGGTGGGGGTGGTTAGAGTGGAGGAAAGAGGGTTGAGGGAAGGGGAGGTTGAATGCGCAGGGCGACCTGGGTGAGATGAAGGGGGGGGGGAGGAGGGAGGAGGGAGCAGGTGGTGGAAAGGGGAGAAGGGGGAAAGTTCGAATGTCCACTTCGCCTGCACATCCTTTCCTGCCCCTCCCCCCCCAACCCCATGCTCCACTTCCCCCACCTCCTCTCTCAGCCTGGCCGTGTCTTACCAGGACGTGCCAGCCTCATCCATCTCCCTTTCCCATGCTCCAGACCCCCCATCTCTGGCTCTAATTTCCCCCCGTCCCTTCCTCCTCCCAATCTGTCTGCCCTCCCCTCTCAGCCTGGCCGTGTCCTACCAGGACGTGCCAGCCTCATCCATCGACCCTGACTGCCTGGACGAGTTCGACCAATGCGAGGCCGACAGGTGGCACCTCCCGCCGTCCGCGTCCACGTCATCCTTTTCGGATGATGAGAATCTGCCCACAGCCCTGTCCCACCAACTCTCCAGACACAGCAGCCGCAATGCTGCCTCGCATTCCTCCACTCCTCCCACCTCTCTCCCCACTCCCACCGCTCCCTCCGCTCCCCCCGCTCTCCCCACCCTCCCCACTCTCCCCACGTTCCCCTCTCTCTATTCCTCCTCCCCCCTCTACACCATCGTTTCTTCTGACGAGTCTTCTCTCGCGCCTGTTTCACCCTCCTCCACCGCTCTGTCCCCGCTGCCCCCCCCTGCCTTTGCTCCCCGCAAAGCTCTCCCCCCTGCCACTGTGCCTGCTGAGAGAGGAGGGGCAGAGGGCGAGCGGGGAGGGGGTAAGGGTAGAGACGAGGGGGAGGGGGAGGAGGAGGGCGAGGCTGAGGGGGAACGGGAGAGAGAGGGGGGTGGAGGAGGAGGAGGAGGAGGAGGAGGGGGAGGAGGAGGGGTTGTTGGCAATGGAGCCAATTCTGTTTGTGCGTGTGGTGCAGGCACGGTCACTGCTAGGGCTCGACCTTAATGCCTCCAGTGACCCTGTGAGTGCGCTGCTTGATGCCATCTGAAATCGTGTGATATGGCATGATCATCTGATATGCTTTGATATCATGCTCGCACTAGTGCAAACTTCACCCAACATTTACCCCCCCCCCCCCCCCCTTTTCAACCATGCCCCGTAGTAGTCCCCTTGCACCTGTCTCAACCGCCCTTCTTACCACCGCCCCCGCACCACCCGTTCTCTCGCCCCTCACTCTCCCGTGTGTACATGTGTGTGTGTGTGTGTCAGTTCCTGGTGGTACCGCTGGGCCATGCCTTGTATGCTCACCTCCCGCACATCCCTCTCACCATCCCTTATTCCCGTTCCCCCTTGTCGTTCCCGTGTACATGTGGGCCAGTTCGCCATGGTGACGGTGGGCAAGGTCACAGCACGCACTCGCACCGTGCCAGATGACGTCAACCCTAAGTGGAACCAGGTCACTTCTCCTCCTTCTATCTCTCCCTCCCCTTCTTGTCCACTGCTCCCTGTCTTGCATATCCATGTGCCTCCTCCCACTCCTTGCACCTCTCCCCAATCGCCCATCACGTCCTTCTTGCCTCCTCGCTGCCCCGCAGGTCTTTGCCATCGGCCAGTCCCCCACTACCTTTTCCCTCGCAAATCCCTCCTCCGAGCTCCAGATTGTTCTCAAGAACGAGGTGTGTACGTGTATGCAGAGCGCTCTTAAGCAAGGTCTGAGTGTGTGTGTTACAGCGAGCGGAAGCCAGCGGAGTGCACATGAGCAAGCGGGCAAGCGTCATACCCGTAGCAGTGTCACCATGCACGCATCTGCATCTGCTCGCTCTCTCCTACCGCTCACAATCCTCTCCTGCACCTCCCCCTTTTCAAACCTTGGTCTTCATCTCCTCACCACCCCTTTACACCTCCTCCATCCCCTCAACCCTCTTTTCCCCCATCGATCGCCCCCCCATCGTACACCTTCTCCATCGCCCGTCAATCAGAACCGCCTGATGCGGGACTCCTTCCTGGGAGCCATCTCGCTGCCTATCGCCTCTCTCCCCCACCGTGTCCCCCCGGCGCTCCCCGTTGACCCGTGCTGGATTCGCCTCGACAAGAAAGCTGCCAGCGCCCCTGCCAGTGCTGCTCGCAGCACCGTCAAAGGTAGCACTGTCACAGGTAGCACTGTCAAAGGTAGCACTGTCACAGGTAGCACCGTCAAAGGTAGCACTGTCACAGGTAGCACTGTCACAGGTAGCACTGTTTAAAAGTAACCTGCTGGTACAGATGTTACAAGTGCTCTGCTGCACCTCATAGCCCCCAACTCTTGGGCCCAATACTTGGGGCTATGATATGATATGCAGCACAGCACCTCTATACCCAACAGTTGACGCATACACTCTTTCAATGCCATACCCATCCCTCCATACTCCTCGATACCCATCCGCTTCCATGCTCCTCCACCCGATCCTTCCTGGCTGGTCAATCCCGTCCCGCGCTCCATGCTCCTCAAGCCCATCTCTCCTTGCTCCCTGCCCCCAGGCGAGCTGCAGCTGGCGGCGTGGATAGGAGTGAGGGCGGACGAGCAGTTTGCAGAGGCGTGGCAGTCAGACGTGAAGGGAGTGGCGCACCACCGCTCGCGCACGTACCCCTCTCCACGCCTCTGGTACCTGCGCGTACACCCCTGCAAGATGGAGCACCTCCCTGTAGCACGTGTTGCACCCAACCTTGTGAGTTCTGCAGCATCTCAAAAGCCACTCCTCTGGAAAGCCCCCGGTATCCCCCTCCTCGCCTCTGTTACCTGTGCTCTCTTTGTGCTCACATCTCATGTGGTGGTCACTTCCTGGTCCGTGTCCAATGTCCGCCCAATCCCGTTTTCTCGCAACCCCTCCCACCAATCAGGTGGTGCGGCTACGCGTGCCCGGCGGCATGCAGGTACAGACAGGCCCCGCCACCCACCGCACTCCGGTGCCGCCCGGCGAAAGTTATGCAAGCCGGGTGAGTGACCGCAAAGAGAGCGGCTGTAGCGACGAAGAGGATGAGGAGGACGGCGGGGAGGAGGGCGAGGAGGAGGCCGAGGAGGGGAAGCGGGAGGAGGAGGAGGGTGTGGGTGGAGATGAGGGTAGTGGTGGTGGTGGGAAGGAGAGGAGCAGTCCACCCAAGGGAGCAGCGACGGGTATGATAGCAAGCCCGGGCTCGCGCCCTGGCAGTCCTGCTGTCCCAGGCGCAGGGACAGATGTGCCAGCCGGCCCAGGAACAGGCACAGGCATGGGCACAGGTTCGGGAACAGGCACGGGCACAGGCTCAGGCACAAGTGAACAACCAAGTTCAGGTGGCCTGAGGCAGCGTTTAGGGCAGCGGTTGCAGAACAGGCAGGTCAGTGTGAGCAACGCCATGGGCAACGTGAGCAACGCGATGGGCCGCATGCGGAGCATTGGGGGGAGCTTGCGCAGCATAGGGGAAAGCATGCGCATGGCCCCTGTCTTCCCCCTCCGCGGGGCCGCAGCAGATGGCTCGAAAGCAGGCACAGGGCCGGGCACAGGGCAGGGCACAGAGCACGGGGCAGTGCAGGGGACAGGGGAGAGGATAGGCGCAGTGGGCAGTGCAGGAGGGGAGGAGGGGCCGGGGGAGGGCGTGTGGGTGTGGGGCGAGGAGGATGAGCAGGTGCTGGTGGTGTCGGAGCCTCTCAATGGGTACCTGCACGTGCAGATCGTGAACGTCATCTCGCCCTCCTGGGTGAGTTGTGAGCCTAGAGTTGACTTGACTCAAAGTGGTGAGTCCAGGTTAGAGCAGCTCAACGATCACATGCAAGTGCAGATTGTTATCGGCATTGTGCTCTTTGCTGCTATCCCAGGCAGGCTGATTAGCCTCTTTGCTTCCCATCGGCCATTGCCCTTCCCAATCTAGCATGCGTCGCTCAATTCACCCCACTCCTTAACGCCCCTCAACAACCCTCAACACCCCTTCACATCCCTTCACACCCCCTTACACCTCTCCACAACCCTCCCTCCACCCCCTGTGGCAGGAGGAGGTGGTAGCATCAGCCAACGTGCTCATCTCCTCCATCCCCACTCGCATCACCCTTGACCCCCTCAAGCCCATCTCAATCGCTCTCCAAACCACCGCATCTGCCGCCGCTGCAGCCATCACCATTGCGAACCGCAACCCCTCTGCCGACTCCCTAGAATCCCCCTCAAAACCATCCCCAGCCCCCACTCTCGCCTCCTCCCACTCCACCTCCTTCCTTTCCCTCTCCTCCACCCCCTCCTCCTCCTCCCTCGCCTCCACCCCTCTCCTCTCCCTCCTCCTCGCCCTGGAAGGAGGCCACCACGTCTTCACCCAGCACCCCCGCTTCCTCTCCTCTCCGCTCCCCGCCGCCCGCTCCCTCTACCCGCCGCCCATCGCACGCCTCGAGATCGGAATCATATCGGCAAAGAATCTGCAGCGGCCCGTGCCGAGCTCGCTGGGAAGTGTGGGGATGGATGTGTATGTGGTGGTGCGGTACGGCGGCATGTGGGCTCGCACACGCACTGTGTGCGGAGAAGTCAACCCTGTGTGGCGCGAGCAGTTCAACTGGCCTGTCTATGATCTCTGCACTGTTGTAACCATCGGTGTGTTTGAAAACAAGTGAGTGTGCTGCTTGTGTGCCATTACCTCTCTTCTTTTTCTTCCTCTCATCCCTCTCATCCCTTCTCATCCTCACACGAGGCGGGAACAAACACATTCCCAAAATCCCAGTCCTTCCCACAGCCCTATCTCACACATGACCACTCATGCTTCTCTCTTCACCCATCCCCCATCCCCTCCTCGCCCACCACCCACCAGGCACAACAGGGGCATGACAACCTCAACAGACACCCCTCTCGGCTGCATTCGCATGCGCCTGAGCGCCATAGACTCAACACGCGCCCTCTCCTCGCACCAGCCGCTACTGTGCCTCACCAAGAAGGGCGTGAAGCAGCTAGGCCACCTGCACCTCGCGCTGCGCCTCTCCCCTTCCATCTCCCTCTCCCGCCTCGCCTCCACCTACATCCGCCCCACGCTTCCCCCTGCACACTACCACTTCCCCATCCCCGAATCCCAAGAACCTGTTCTCTTACAAGAAGCAGTGGGGCTGCTGTGCAAGCACCTGGGCGCATTCGACCCGCCGCTGCGAGCCGAGGTGGTGCAGTACATGGGGGAGTGCGATGAAGACGTGCTGTCCGTGCGGCGGCTTAAAGCCAACCTGCAGCGGATCAAGATGCTGCGGGCGCGCTTCTCTGCCATGGCTGCTGGGTTCAAGGCCGTGCAATCATGGAAGAACCTTCCTCTCACACTCGCCGTGCACCTGGCGTACGCCCTTGCAGTGTTGTACCCGTCCTTCATCCTCCCCACGCTCTTCTTTCTCCTCGCCTGGCAGCTTCTCGCCTCCTCCCCCACTCGCCCCCTCGGCCCGCCTCTGATGGATCTGAAGCTTTCGCAGGGGGAGGCTAGGGAAGAGGGGGTGGAGAAGGGAGGGGAGGAGGGGGATGATGGGGATGAGGAGGACGAAGAGCAGGAGAAAGGTGGTTCGGGTCCAGTGGCGTACTACAAGGTATGAGCGGGGGCATGGGAGGATGTGGTCGTGAGATACTCTTTTATCTTAGTTGCACCGCCACCATAATTCAACCCATTGCGATCTTCCGTTTCTCCCTCCCCCTCCCTTCCCTCTTTCCCCTTCCTCCTTCCCCGCTCTGCTCTGTTCTGTTCTGCTCCGCTCCGCCCTTCTCTGCTCCGCTTTGCTCTGCTCCACTCTACTGTGCTCTGCTCTGCTCTCTGCGCTGCCCTGCAGGCCCTGAGGGCCAAGTACGACAAGCTCATGGACGGTGCAGGGAGGGTGCAACGGGGCCTTGGGGTCATTGCTGACTCAGCTGAGAAGATAGAGATGCTGCTGACGTGGCGAGACCCAAGGTGAGGGGTACCCAAGACCTTCCCCCGTCACCCCTCACACCACGACCCACAACCTTCACACCGCTCACTTCCCGTTTCGCCCTTCCTGGATATCACTCACACCACCCACTGTCCCTAGATGTCATCGCACCATTGTTCTGCACCCTCTCCCCCCTTGCCCTTCCACCCTCACCCCCACCACACCACACGCCCTCCTCTCCCATCGCCTCAGCGCCACGTTCCTGCTCATGGCACGGCGCAGCACTCATGCTGCTGCTCTTTGGGCCACCTTGAAAGTCTACCCCTTCCACACCTCCCCCCCCCCCTTCCACACCTCCCCCCCCCCACTTCGTTCGCCTCAGAGCCACATTCCTGCTCATGTCAGTGTGCACGGGGCTCATGCTGTTGCTGCTGCTGCTGCCCTTCCGCCCTGTGGCGCTAGCAGCGGGCTTCTGGGCGCTCAGGCACCCGCGCCTGCGCCGCATCACTCCCACCAAGGTCAAATGCTTCCTCGCTCGCCTGCCCACCCGTGCCGACACCATCTACTGACAACTTCTGATGCACCTCAAAAGGTGGGCTTTTGGGCGCTCTGTCACCTACACCCGCGCCTGTGCCGCATCACTCCCATGAAGCTCAAATGCTTTCTTGATCGCATGCCCACCCGCGCCAATGCCGTCTACTCAGCATGTGAGCAAGGGCGGAATTTGGGCGTGCGTGCCATTGAACTGCTGCAGCTGCTGCTGTTGGTACGTGTGTGAAAGGGAGTTGGTGTGCTTTGAGTTGAGTGCAATGTGAGCGGTGATCGTGTTCCTTGGGTTGAGGCCATTAGCTGCACATATTTATGGGAAGCACACAGTGAGAGGAGCACACCAGATCTGGCATGGCTGCAGCTTTCAAGCTGAAGCGCCACAGATACTAATTATCTCATTACATAAGAACATATGTACATGTATAGAATACAGGTAAGTATTAATCTGTCTGTTCCATCGGCCTCACGGCCCACAGCCAACTGCTGGGGGGCTTCATGGCATCCCTTTCAATCTCAACTCCGATCCTGGCAGCCCTCTCCACTCAACCACCAATCCTGGCTTCACGGTCGCTGCCTCTGGTGTCTGTTCCTGCATGCCCCACATGCTCCCTGTCACCACTGCCCACACCACCACCCAAACCACCAGTCACACCAGCGGCACCCACACCGACCTTGCCTGTCCGCTCCTGCCCTTGCAGCTGACACTCCTTTAACACCGTCTCATATCCCATCCCCCTTTTAAACTGCTCCGCTAAGCGGTCCACAGCGAGCTCAGGGCCTGTTAGGTCTGCTCGCATCTGCCGCCTCTCCTCCAGCTGCACCCCGTACCGCTGCTCCACCGCTGGGGAAGAAAGGGAGGGGGGAAGGGGAGGGGGTGGGGGGAGAGGAGGAGAGAGGGAAAGGAAGGAGAGGGAGAGATGGAGGTCGGAGAGACTGCAAGGCAGGGGTGTGTGGGAGAGGGTGGACTGAGAGAGCGAGGGTTGGAGGTGGTTGGAAGGGTGAGATGATGGCAGCGCCAGTGGCAAGCACAAGCTTACCCAAAGCAATCTAGCAGCAGCGTACCTTTAGGCAGGTCTGGTTTGAGCTGCCCATCGGCAAAGAAGGCCCCCATGAGCTGCGGCACCCCCAGCGGCAGCGCATCACCCCTATCAAACTGCCAGAAGTGCCACGTCTTGCCGAACGTCTTCACCAGCTTGCTCATCACAGGCAGCTCTGCCACTGCCGGCATGCCCGGCATGATCAGCAGCCCGTTCTTCACCTCATACTCGTGCGAGTGCCACATGCGCTGCTCCTCCTCGGGCAGCGAGAGGAAGATCTTTTCGGAGACGATGAATTCGACGCCGATGAGGCGCGCTGAGGGTCGGTCTGAATCGTAGACGAGGCACTGATGGACGTCCTCTGACACGTGCGAGCAGTAGTGATGCGCCTCCACCTGCCGCGACATGTCGTTTGCGTAATAGTGGAAGCTGGCGGAGTGCATGGTTGGGGAAAATGGAAAAGTAGTGCAGGATGGGCGATTTCATGGTCATGGCGGAATGGCTCATCCCAGCTAAATCCCAAGGCACGCATCAAAGAGCAACACAAATACAGCGGAAGGCAGTCAAAATGGGTTCGCAAACAAACTCGAGAAGGCCAATCCGAGCAGGCAGATGGAAGAAGGATGGAGAACAAAGCAGCAAGGAATGTTTTAGGGTCCAATGGGAGAACTAACGCGCAGAGGTGTTGGCCGATCTGGCGGATGGGGCTGAACTGCTGCACGGTGCTCGCACCCGTCTCCATCACCCTTGTCGTCACTGTCTTCGCCTCGCCGGGCACGTCCGAGAACTCCGAGGCTGCCGCCCCGCCCGTCGATAAGGGCTTGTGCGCCGCCATGATGACGTTGTGAAGTAATCGCGAGGAACTATCCTGACTACGTCGTGGAATTTAGCGCAAAAGTGAGTTGACGGAGGAAAAGTGAGTCAGGCTGACGAAAAATGCTCTTCACTTCACTATTTACAGCGGGTCGAGGGTTTGAGCAGGAACCATGTATCGCGAGATCGGGGGGGTGGTTCGGCTTGCTTCTGGAGAGCTGCCTCAGCGTGCGCGCGGAAGGGCCCGCAGTACGGCGTGCATGCAGGCGAGAAAGTGATGCTTGATGTGCACGTGGTGGGGTATGGGGATGGTTGGAGGGAGAAGTGTGGGGCGGAATACAATCATAGGCTGGGCGAGACGAGATTACCAGGGGTCGGGCCGCAATGTCAGGCTGCAAATTCATGACATTCGCGACTCGCAATGCGTGGGATCTTGATCTGCGTGTTGGTGTCGAGGTTCAATGTATGCGGAATGCACTTGCAAATAAAGGTGAATACACTACAAAAACAATCGATACAATATGAACCACACCTCCACAACACCATCTCATCAAAGCAATGCTAGTATCTGCGACCACCAGAATTTCCTAGCAACATACAGTCCGAATCGGAAGCTGCCTCAAAAATCACTCCTGCTTGTTTTTCCTCCCGGCTCGCATGCGCCCCATCTCCACACATCCCATCCAACAGTGCTCCATGCGCAAACAGCCCATCATTGGGCAACGAGCCCACCATGACAGGAGGCGACTGTCCCTCGCATGCAGAGAGCACCACATCACCTGCACCTGCTCGCACCAACCCCTCAGACTCCCCCAGATGCTCAACTGGCACCACCTTGCTGCCACCCTTCTCCCTCTGCCCCTTCCCCAGCAGCAACCCATTCTCACTGTCACCCACACCATCACCATCACCCCCATCCCGCGCACCATCCCCACCGCCCTCCTTCCCACTCGCTCCCTTGCTTGCCACCCCATCATACCCCTTCTCGCCCTCACTGCCCTCGTCCTCGTCATCCATGAGAGCCACGTCTGGCAGGCCCGGGTCCTGTGTGAACTTGAGCACGCCGTGGTGCTTGGCCCACATGAGCAGCGGGTACATCAGCAGACCCATCAAGGCCGCTATTGAGCTGCCAGGGGAACGGGTAGGGGATGGCAAGGTGCATGTAGAAATGGTCAGGACAGGACGAGGGACTGGGACTTTCAGATGGAGATGAAGTAGAGGCTGGAGAAGAGACAGAGGTACTGTAGGGGAAGAGGGGAGTGGGCAACTGGCAATGGTGCACACCTCTGAATGGGCCCACTGCACACGCCCCACGCCCCACGCCCCACGCCCCACGCCCCACGCCCCACGCCCCACGCCCCACGCCCCACGCCCCACGCCCCACCCCCCACGCCCCACGCCCCACCCCCCACCCCCCACGCCCCACGCCCCACCCCCCACGCCCCACCCCCCACGCCCCACGCCCCACGCCCCACGCCCCACGCCCCACGCCCCACGCCCCACGCCCCACGCCCCACGTCCACACCTCATGCCTCACCTGACAATGACAGTCTGCCAGGAGGCAAGGGCCATGACAAGGACCAGCAACAGCGAGGGCGGCAGGCACAAAAGAGCTGCTCCCATGGTGTCCACAGGGATCCTGTGGGATGAGATCCAGCGCGTGGGGGAGAGAAGTGCCAAATGGGGGCGAATCAGGGAGCAGGAGAGAAGCACTGAGTGAGCACGAAGCAGCGCCACATGGGTATGGAGGAGGAAGAATGGAGGAAACGGCATGGAGAAGGGGGCCATGGAGAAGGGGGCCATGGAGAAGGGGGCATGGAGAAGGGGGCATGGAGGAAGCATGTGGACGAAGGCATGAGGGAGGGAACATGCAGGGGAACGTGGGGGACAGGAACGACAGCTATTCCTTAATCACGACTGCATTCAGAGACGAACAGCAGATACGACACTCAACAAGCGAAGCATGATTGAAGCAACGCGATTGAGAGTGCAGTGGCACGTACTTGTACGGCCGGGGCAGGTCGGGCTGGGTGACGCGGAGCACCACGAAGGCTGCGAACTCGAGCAGCATGCCGAAGCAGTAGAGGAAGTTGAGGAACTCCACGATCTCCTGGAAGCTCATCCACGACAGCAGCAGGATGCCCGTGGCGCTGCATATGATGCCCAGCACAGGCGTGCCGTGCCGTGAGCGGTATGTGAAGACCTCGGGCAGCATGCCCCTCTCTGCCATCCCCAGCAGCTGAAACGCGTCGCTGCGCGGGTGCGAGAGAGGGAGGGAGGGAGGGAGGGCGGGTGGACAGAGGGGAGGGAGGGAGGGAGGGAGGGAGGGAGGGAGGGAGGGAGGGAGGGAGGGAGGGAGGGAGGGAGGGAGGGAGAGAGGGAGGGAGGGAGGGAGGGAGGGAGGGAGGGAGGGAGGGAGGGGGGAGGGAGGGAGGATGGGAGGGAGGAAATCACGGGTTGGTTCTGCAGTGGCATGCAATTGAGAGGGGAGGGACCTGGGCCTATGAGACAAGGAGGTGAGCAATAGAAATGAGGGCGGTGGAATGAAATAGTGAAGATATCAACAGCATGAACGGTGCAATAAAGAAGTGCTTTCAGGTTCCAAAGACGTAGAAACAGCGCGGAAACACACATTGCCTTGCCACCCTAAACACACCTGCTCATCTCAGCCTCGAATGCGCCCATGTTGGAAAGAGCAGCGGCACATGCGATCCACCAGGCGAGCCAGCCGCCCCCAATGGCGCGACCCACCACGGCCAGGTACCCATCGTCCCAGCCATCTGGAGAGAAGGGCATGGTGCCCGTGCCTGCCAGCAGTGGCACCAAGTATGACACCACCACCAGCACCACCGCCCCCATGAGCGCCCGTGGGAAGGTGCGCTTTGGCTCCTCTATCTCTCCTGCTAGCGTGCTGTGCGGGGCGATGATGCAGGGGGTGCAGCGGATGCAGACAGCAGGGTGGATGGTGAGGAAAGTTGAAAAAAGCGAGGGAAACAGCCGTCGGTGAAACAAAGACAACACAGTCTCCACCTGACAGAGTACTTACCTGACGGAGTCCCAGTAGTTGAGGTTCCAGAAGAGCGTATTAAAGTATCCTCGCCAGTGCACGCGGTTTAGATCCACGACCAGCCTGCCATCACACACACGCCACCCATACACTCCCCCAGCATCCCCCAGAGAGATGGATATGAGTGTTCCTGAAACCTTCTAGTGGTAGAAAGGAGCATTGGAGCGACTTAAAAGAGGAGGCAGAGCGTGAGGTGAGGACTCGTGTGATCACTCACTTCACTATCACAACCCCTCGTATGCTCTTGACCCCTTCCCTTCCCTCCACTCCCCTCTCTTCCCCCTTCCTCACCAACTTCCCCGCCCCTGCCCTCCCCTGCCAACCCTTAACCACCCCTGCCCTTCCCTTCCCTTCCATTTCCCTCCCACCAGACCCTGCTATTGAACAACAACCCTCCCCCCCCCGAATGACAGACCAGCGGGCGGGTTGGATCTTGGGGATGGCGAGCAGCGCCATCACCACAAAGGGCAGCAGCCCGAACACTGCCAGCGCGATGGCAGTGACGCCCACTATCGTGAGCCCGCGGTAGTTGACGTATGTCAGCAACTAGTGGCGGTAGAGGAGGGGCAGTACCCGAGAGTGGGGAAGGGGAACAGCCAAGGGGAGGAAGGATAGAGGCGAATTCGGGTTTTGAAACGCCTCAAAGCCTGATGCCAACTATGGTGAGCCTGTTCGTTCACAAAAGTGAGCATCCGGGAGAGGAGAGAAGGGGTTGGCGGATGGCCTGTTGGGCTGGCCTCAAGAAAACGGAGTGTGACAACAGAGCTGATGATGAGTGCAGGCAGCTGAAGACCAGACCAGGAACGCACCAGAGTCATGGCGAGCAGCGCAGCCATGCGAGGCAAGCCGCCGTCAAACACGGGGAGTTCGCGCTTCAAGTAGTCGAGGAAGAGCAGCGGGTAGAGCGAGTTGTCTATCACGCCACTCAGCCACTTCCACCACCCCTCCTGGAAGCCCCAGAAGGGCCCAAACGCCGCTGACACCCACACCACGTAGCCCCCGTTCTCCGGGAACGCTGTTCCTAGCTCCGCTGTCGTCAGGGCCTCTGGCAAACTCCAGATCTGAGGGGGGTGACGGGGGAAAGGGGGAATGGCGGACCGGGGATGGGGCGTGGCAGAGCAGAGAAGGGGGAGGAGGCGCGGAGGGGGAAAGGGGGGAGTGGGGAGGACGGGGGAATGGGGTGGATTCGGGGCGGTAGAAGGTGATGGGAGCAGCGTAAAGATAGGGTGATGGGGTGGTGGTCGATTGCGTGGCTGACATGGAATACTGTGGAGGACTGACGAGACGAGAGAAGTAGCGACGGGAGAGTACATTGGGATGTGCCGTGAGGAGGGTGGTGTGTGTGGGGATAAAAGATGTAAGATGCGGAAGATGCGGAGGGCGTGGAGGGGAGAACAGCCCGCACGAGGGGGAAGACGGTGAAGCCAAGGATGGCGAGCAGCGGCCCGCCGTACTTCACGGCGTCCTCCACGCCGTACGGCCCGCCTGACACCTGCACGCACGAACGGAAATGAGAGGACGGGAGAAAAATGTCAGGAAAAGGGAGAAGAAGCCAAAAATACGTACGGAGGAGAAAATAAGAGCCTTCATCTTCGCCTGGACACGCTTGAAACGCATGACCTAACCTAACCTCTCGTCCCCTCAAATCAAGAATTGTGCCCACCCATGACCATAGCTGACCTCGAAGAAGATGAGCGCAATGAGCGGCAGCAGCGTCAGCTTCTGGCCGTGCGGCCCGTGGCTCTTCTCGAACTGCTCGTGCGCCGCGTCCTGCCGCACAGAAGGACGCGCAGTAACGACAATCGACTCAGTAACAAACGATTTCAACCAGGACAACCAGGTATTGCGATATTAGGTCGTCGAAAGGGAAAGCGGCCTTGTAAACGACTGTGCGGTCGGATTGCGGGACAAGATCGAGGGTACCTCGTGCGAAAGCGGAGCTCCCTGCGTGAGGCGCTCCTTTTCCCCCGATACTTGCGACCCCATTGCTGGTTGCGCGCGGCACCGCGACGCCTGGCAGTGGAATAACAGAATTAGGATCGCCGAGCAACGGTCACCGCGACCTCAGCCCATGCTTGAATTCGAATTTACCTTTCCCTTGCTGGAAACTGCGTCGCTATAGCATGGGCCAATCAGCGGGGAGGCTAACGACTCTACCATAGGAGAGCGGCTCCTTGCGCGCTGCCGCACAAGCGGCGGAGATTCAGCGGTTATTATTGACACTAAGACAGGCCGCGGAGTCTCAGGGGACGAGGAGGCAGGGAACTGGTGCATTCGTGAAAGCTCACTCTGTTCCAGACTCCACTAGGGTGGTTGCGCGAGACCGGAGGACATTGGGTCGTCAAATCCCAAGAACGTTTCGTCTGAATCTTTTTTCCTTGTTCGCAGGGGTCGTCAAGCCGCCATGGGGGGTCAGATCGGGCAACACCTAGGAAGTGCCTGAAAAGTGTCGAGTGCATCTCGACCGTCCAATCCAGCAGCTGGCCAACTTCGAAGAGTGTGCGGAGTAGGGGGCGCCGGGGACAGACTGCGTAGGGCTCGCATCGCCGGGCTGTGTGATGCAATCGATGAGCGCCGCGTGAGCGCAGCTGAACTGGCTTTTTGTACACGTGGTAAATTTGGATTGCATGAATTTCACATGGGACATCCAGCTCTACGGCTCCTTCGCTTGGAACAACTCAATTACCGGTACAACTTTGGCAAAAGCAGCTACACAAAGCAGCCACAAGTAGGTGCACTACCCTTCACACTTTCCCAACCTTCTTTCGTGCCTCCTTGGTAATCTCAGCACACTCTGCGTATGCGCCTTCCAGATCCTTAACCAATTTCTGCCTGCTCCGCCTCTGCTTCTCCACAATTCTCTCCACTTCACCCTTCAGCCGTTGCTCCAATTCTTCCTCTGACACCACTCCAGTCACATGAACTGCAGAAACCTTAACAAACTCTTCCAGGTGGCTAACGGCAGCCATCCCAGAAGCCATCACATCCACCAGCCCGTTAGCAGCAGCTCTCCTCATTTCAAACGTTTCTTCCCGTGTGAACCCTTTTTTCCGAGCTCCACCAGTATCATTCCCTCGCGACTCTGTTTGATCATGTGCTGCTTCAGAACCTTGTGCACGGGGCCGCTTTCTGCCAGCACTCCCTGGCAGGAAAACACGAGAATGTGCATGGAGGGGTGCGCCAGGAGGAGAGCATGCAGTTGATGTTTAACTGAGTGTGACCAGAAAGGAGGACTGCAGGGGAGGACTGAGTGGGTGTGACTGCAGGGGAGGACTGAGTGGGTGTGACTGCAGGGGGTACTGAGTGGGTGTGACTGCAGGGGGGGACTGAGCATGTGTACACGGATCGATTCAGCAGAAAATGCGCTGTAAGAGCAGCACGAATGGAAGTCACGTTTTTCAATATGCAGCGGGTGACGCAAGAGGCGGGGCAAATGGAGCATGGCTGCATGGCTGGCTGGCGATGAGCAGAAACCGGGAGGGGGGAGCATCAGAAGTGGGGCAGAGTGTCCTAGGGAGCAAAGGGTGGAACATGGTAAGGGGCACATACCGGAAACGTGAGTGGGAATATGGGGAGTGATGCTGGGAGTCCTTGGAGCAAGGATGGCAGTGGGGGTTACGGATGGTGAAGCAAGGTGATCATCCTCCTCCTCTTCCTCCTCCCGTTCCTCTTCCTCGTCTTCCTCTTCCTCCTCCTCCTCTTCCTCCTCCTCTTCCTCCTCCTCCTCTTCCTCCTCCTCCTCTTCCTCCTCCTCCTCTTCCTCCTCCTCCTCTTCCTCCTCCTCCTCTTCCTCCTCTTCCTCACTCCCCTCCTCATTGCGCTCCTCATATGCATCACTCCTTCTCCTGACCTCCCAAACATCGTCCTCCTCGCTGTCTTCCTCCTCTTCTTCCTCTTCCTCCTCTTCCTCTTCTTCCTCCGTTTCGTCTCCCTCATCTGATTCAACCGTCCTCATCACTTCAACGTTATCATCTTCCTTGTCATCCTCCTCTTCCTCCTCCTCTTCCTCCTCCTCCTCCTCTTCCTCCTCTTCCTCCTCTTCCTGCTCTTCCTCCTCACTATCATTATCATCAGTATCAGAAGACCCGCTAACGTATTCCCCACTACTCCAATCCGCCTCGTCCCCTTCCTCGCTCCACTCCCATTCCTCCTCTTGAATCCTCACCCCCCTCCGTCCCCTTCCTCTCTCCGCTCCCCTGCTCCTCTCCACTCCCCTGCTCACACTCAATCCCCTACCATTCCCTTCATCCCCTTCCCCTCTCCGCCTCTTGCCCGCCCCTCGCATCACCCTCCACTGATCCTTCTCCAGCCCCTCCCCCCCCGCGTCCTCCGCCTGCGCCACCTGCTGCGCCTGCAGCGCCTTCAGCTCCCGCCATCTCTTCTTCATCCACGCACTCCGCGCGCGTCTCAGCGCAACAGAACAAGGCCGCCGCGCCACTACGCTCGGCCCCGCCTGATTCCTGTGGCTCTTCGCCCTCCTCTTCCCCTCAACCGCCTCCTCCGCTCCTGAGATCCCTCGATTCCGCCTTCCGCCCACGGCTTTTCCCCCGAACACAGCTCTCCCCCCCAGCGTTTCTGTTCCCCCCGCCGCTTTTTCCCCCCCGGCTACCTCTCTGCCCACCCCCCTCTCTCTTCCCCCTGAGCCTACGTCTCCAGCTCGCACCGCTCCCCTCTCTTTTCTTCCCCCCCTTCCCAATTCTCTCCCATCCTGCTCCCGCTGCCTACCTACCGAAACATTCCCCTGCTCTCTCACGCACGGCATTTGCGCACCTACTACCGAAATATTTTCCCCGTGCTCCCCTCTTCCCCCTCGCTCCGCTAACCCGTCCCTCCGCTCCCGCGTCAACGGCCCGTCTGTCCCGCCTTCCCCCCCGCGCTGCCTCCGCTCACCTCTCGCTTAAGCACTTGCGCGAAACCCGCTCCCGCTGCCTTCCGTTACGCCCCGCGCCGGGAACCGCGAAAGGGACAAACACTGTGTGATTCAGATATCGCTACTCGCGCACAGCGCGTTCGCGTCGCTAAACTATACGCCGTTGCAAAGAGGACCGCTGAATCGCTAGAAACCAACGTGCTTCGAAGAGCGCGCTGAGTCGAATGTGCGAATCTGGTCCTAAGCGGGTGCTCGACAGCGGCAATCGCGGTCGTCAATGGTGCATAGTCGATTCGCCAACACACTGCTGCCACAATATATTGCTATGCACACTAATAAGAGACGTCCAAACCCGTCATAAGAGCGATATTTAGGGTGATCGAACCTGATCCCATTCAACTTATAAGTTGAGCCGGCTTGAGACCTGTCAGCAGTAGGCTGCGAAACTGCTACCGCGGACGCGCGCTGCTAATGAATGACACGTAGCAGATGGGGAATTGCTCGCACGCTAGAAGCCGAGAGCATTGTAAGCATTGCTTGCACGTAATATATTCCAGTCAAGGATCCTTGCTCACGGCGGAGGAGCAGGGCACAATTATGAAAATAATAACTCCAGCAATTGGCGGGCGTGTCAAGTGGTAAGTTTGTGGGACCTGCAGAACGGTTACCTGAAAAAATGTATTTTTTTGGACATATCACGATTGGTTGGAATAACCATAGCTCATTTACAGGTCCCGTATATCAGCTTCTAGATTAAAGCACACAGACTAGAAAAAAAAGGGGGGGAATAAAAACCAAACTGGTTATCAAGGTTCACTAACTTCCCCCTTCAGGCTTAGCGGCACCAAATCCACAACACACACACACAGTGGCTCCACTCAAACAGGTCACATCATGTCAGGGAAGGTGTTTCCCCGGTTAATATTCGAGCGACCTTGCGCCACCATGGCAGCACGCGCCTGCATCAGCCCCGCCGGGTGCAGCGCTTGATCCATTCCTCCCCACCCCGACATGTCGCAGAACCGCTTGTCGAATTGCGCAGACGGCCCTTCTGTAGCGGCCGTGCGACCGCAACCGCCGGCATAATAATGGGCATTCCTCCTGGCGATATCGCCTTGCCCGGGAACTACTTGTGTATCCTCCATTTCGTAATCAAACGGGTTGCGGCGCGACTCTTGTTGCCCTAAGTTGCTCTGCTGGTGCTGTCTCGACGACCGGGACTGGACCCCTCCGCCGGGCCCGCTGCTCACTTCATCCTCGCTATCGGAACTTCGCTGTTGGCTATAAGCCGCATCTGGCTGAGCCTGCACGCTGCTCTCATCAGCACCAAACGGACCGTTGCCACGTGGCAACGAAGCTCCGGAACGACGCGCGGAGCGGATGCAATCCAGTGAGCTTCGTCGGCGTGAAGGGTCGTCGTGAGGCGCGTACAGAGCTGCATAATCATTGCCGGACGGGCCACCTTGTTCCTCCTTAACCGTGGACTGTCTCCCCGCAGCAGAGTTTCGCCGGTGAGACGGCCGTTCAAGCTCCTCCAGTTGAACGGACTTCCGTCGAGGCATGGCAGTTGGTGACGGAATGTCTTCTTCCATTGGAGCGGGAGCCTCAGGCTCCTGTGGCGAAGCATATGTTGCCATTGCCTTCTGCAGCTCTAGCCGCTGCCGTTGTGAGCGGTCTTTAGCGAGGAACCGAAACATGATTGCTATCTGTTGCTAAGGGGATGAGGGGAGAACGAAATGGGTTAAGTAGCTGTCTCAACCCCGGCTAAAGGCCTGCGAAAAAAAAAAATCTCGAGTACCGCCAATAAACTGATAAGAAGTTGCTGATAGAACACGACTGGTATGTAGACTATGCTGGTGCTAACACCAAAAAAGTTCTAGCACCTAAATAGGTAGCAAGGAAATTGTCTAGTGGGGTTCACCGATTTGGCCACAGAGAAGAGAAAAGGCGAAGGGAGCAGAGGGACTCAGTCACAGCCACAGAGGTCCACACAGGCAGGCACAGGTAGCTGGCGCTGCCCAGATGAGGTGGCCCAAGGTGGCCGAAGGGGCCTGGGAATTTCGGTGAGGGGTTGGTTTGGTTGGTTCGCTTGCTGGGTTTGTCGTTGCGGGGGAAGATCAAGGGTTTCTTTCCGTTCCACAGAGACATGCCACTTGCAGAATATGTCCGCTTTGCTGCCGCCGCGATTTCGTGACGGTGAAGCACGTGATGAAGAATGTGATGGGAGGTCAGCGAATCCCCTCAGCAAATCGCCACTGATCAGCGATGAGCTGGTGAGTAGTTGCAAGGAACGGCTGCGATTACTTGACGGAAAATCGACATAATGCAGGGCTTGTGTGAAGAAGATGCTCCCTGGGGGCTCTGCTCTGCTGTCCAAACCAAACTATTCGCTGCCCGTTCTCAGCTGGGCTAGTCGATTCTGATTCCATAAGACCTGGCAAGAAAATGCTGCAGCCGTGGCTTCATCGTGAGCACCCACGCCAACAACTCCAAATTGGGACAGATATTTGCCAATTCACCGAGGTTCTCAGACATCAAAATAGTGTGATACGCACCAGCAAAAACACGGTCAGGAGTGAAAGCAAGCTGGCAAAAGCAGTCAATTGGTCCATTATAGGACAACTGGACTTTCACGGTGAATACATTAATTGAGTTGTTTCTAAGAATGTTATCAGAAATAAGTTACGCAATGAGAGTGGAATCTGTGGGATTCATCTGCATTTGATTGAGGCTGCAAGAGAATTAACTTTTAGCCGAATTTGTACATTTTGTTTTTGCATTAGGAATGTACGTTAAGTGAAAGGATGTGTTTCCAAGTATATATTCCATGTCTATTACTTTCTGTGCTAACAGTTATCACAAGTTCACTGTATTGTGGATGGTTCCTTACGATGAGAATTATAGCTCCTTGTTTTTTTGCAGCTCTTCCAGGTCAACAAGGGTCGTCGAACCCTTTTTGTTGCGTGTTCGCATGAATCAGGTGGTCGTCCTACTGTGTGTGCGACGACTTTGTCGCGAAAGCATCAGCGCAAAGCACCTGGCCAGTAGAAAGGCGAGGGGAATCGACGTTGCTATCCAGCTGGGCGAAATTCATCCCCGTCAGCTTTGGAAAATCGCAAGAATTCGCCCCCATTCCTCTTTGTCACCATGCCCACCGCACCCCAACCCGCCGTTCTCTTTCTCTTTCGTTGCACCTACCTGTTCTCTCTCCTTCCCACTCCTTCCCTCCCCTTCCTCTCTGCCCGCGCCTGTTCTCACTAGACTTCCTCAACTGCCACTGCTAGTCTTCTCTGTGTCCCTCCCATAGTTTATAATTCGAGCCACGGCAGCCCCAACTATTCAACCTCGCGATCACTGCTAGTATTAATTGCACCGCTGCATTATACTTCCCTACATCTAGCCTCGTTGGTGCTCGCATTGTCAGTTCTTTGAGATAGAGACCAGGAAAATGAGTGAGAGTATTCCATTGACGAGTACGACTTCCGAGACCGAAGGCGCGTACTCTCCTCCCCTTCTCTTCGAACACGCGCAGCCCGCGGAATGCGCGGAAAACCACGAGCATGCAGAACGCTGGGCGGACGATGTCGGCGACGTCAAGGTCACCGTTTCCGAGCACCTCGTGTCGCACACCGCCGATTCCCCTCCGCTGAAAGCCGAACCGAAGGAAGAGCAGGCTGAAGCTCGCAAAGCCGCGGCGTGGATTCCTCAGAAGAGCTTTGGCTATCCGACGGCTGGCGGCTGGAACGATTTCGACAAATCGTCCGCCATTTTTAATTTCAGCGAGCGCCCCGTACGCGACGCGGGATGGCGGTTCGTCTTCGCCGTGCCGCTCGTCGTCCTCGTCGTTGCGGCCCTCTTCGCATTTGTCGCTGCGCTCTTGGACCCCTCACCCCTCCTCCTTTTTCCGTTCCTCTATCCGATAGCGTTGATTATCCTCTTCGCCTTCAGCCTTCCCCTGCCCGTGTTGATCGTCTCTTCTCTCCGCAAAATCCCCGCTCGCGTCTTGAACGCGCTCATGATCCTCGCCGCCGTGATTTGCGCTCTGCAAAGCGCTACCTCCGCCGTGCACTACTTCGCGTCGCCCGCGCTCGTGCCGCCAAATGCAGCTGACGTATCCCCGGTAGTAAATTATGGTTCTTATTCGCCAGGCGACGATGGCTCGTCGAGTAGCTTTTCTATTAACACGGACGTTCCGGAAAGCGCGGAGGGGGAGAGCGGGGAGACGAACGAAGGCAGTGGCGGGATGATGGGGGGAGAAATGGGAGAGGAAGAAGAAGCCGCGATGATGGACGCCATTATGGCGGACGAGGCGAAGGAAGGCACACAAGGGGGCATGATGGAAGGGGGCATGGAAGGGGGAACGGAGGGCGCCATGGGGGAGCACATGGAGGGGCAGGAGGACCCATCTGAAGCGGCGGTCAGCAGCGCTGGTCACGTGGCAACAGAGGCTGAGAGCAGCAGCAGCGCACCTACCAGCACCAGCAGCGCTCCTAGCGGCAGTAGCAGCGCTGCGGCCACGAGCGACCTCGGCAGGGGCCTACTCGAGCTCATACTGCCCACCGTCGCACACCCCGTGGTAACCGTTACCGCACAGCACGCCGGCCACTGGGTGCGCGTCGCCCACTCCGCCGCCCGCCGTCATCTCCAAGTCCACGCGTCAGATGCGGAAAAGGGAGCGCGCGGGCGGTCCTTGCAAGGCGAGAATCGGCTGTACGGGGTGGCGCCGCTGGCTGACACCCTCGTGCTCCGTCCTCTCTACTTCATCGCGTTTGTCGTCTTGGGGCTGCTCAGTGTGGTCGCCATGCTCCTCGTGCTGCGCTGCAGTCACCACCTGTCACTCGCCGCCTCTGCTGTTGCGCATGCCGCTCAAACGACCGTCTCCCAGGCCCCTGTCATCTTCCTTATGCCGCTTCCTGTTATCCTTGCATTTTCGTTCCTGGTCCTCCCTTTCATGTGTCGCAGCGATGGTGCTAGTGTCATCCTCTTCGTCCTCCTGCTACCCATCTTTCTCTTCGTCGCTCAAGTGCTATCAGCTCTCCTCACCTACTGCAAAGCAGCTGTTTTCGCCCGGCTGTACGTCACAACCAGCAGCAGCAGCAGCAGCAGCAGAGGGAGCAGCGAGGACGGGAAGGCGGGTGAAAGGGAAGAAGGCGTGTCATTGAGAGGACAGCTAGAGCTCTTCTCCTCAGCCTTCTCCCTGGCTTGCACCTCGTCCCTGGGCACCTGCTGTGCCGTTGCCTTTACCACCTGCACTACCACCATTGTCCTACTCCTCCTCTCCGCCCTGTCCCTGGCTCTCCTTGGCCAAGGCGTCATTGGCTGTCTGCTGGTGGCACTGCTTCACTGCACACAGCTTGCCATCCACTTCTTCCTCAACTCCCTCATCCTCCCCACCGCTGCCATGAGCGGCCATGGCTTCGCGCGCTCTCTGCGCCTCTCGATCGACATACTGCGGCGCTTCCTGGCGGCTATTCTGACGGCCAATGCTGCTGCGCTCGCCCTGCTTGCCGTGCTCCTATTTCCCGTGCTCATAATAAACTCCATATTCGGGGTTGTTACGGTGAGTACACTCTGTTGCTGCACGCTTCCTCTGTGCTTCAGCATGAATTTCTGTTACGGTAAGAATTGTCTATCATGTTGACTCTCCTTGGAAAGGCATGGTCTTACTTGCATTTCCCATCCCTTTTCATTTGCAGGTTGTTTTGAGGATATTTGCAACTGGAGGTGGCCTGGAATCTCTAGTTGAAAATATATTTATAGCTTTTATCGTGTATGCAGTTTCTCTCCTCTCCACTGTAGCACTCTCCTCCGTCCTCACCACAGGGGTCGCTACCACAGTGCTGTGTTTCGCCTGGGACAAGAAGCTTGAGCCAGAGGAGGGCTCTGATGCTGCTGGCTTGGTTGGTGACGGTTTTATATCCTCTGCTGATGCCAAGGATACTACCGGTAGTTCAGTGTAGGAGATACTAAATTTCCCCACTCATGGCTTGGTTGTGTTATGTGTTTTTACAATAAGAAACAACTATTGTAACCATCATATGCGTATGCTAAAAGGATAAAAGGTAGGTAACAAGCGGAAGCTTATGAGCGATGCAGCTGCAATTATTTTGCAGCAGAGAGCAGGTCGCTGATTTGGGATGTGTAGAAGTCAGGGCGGATAGTGTTTTCAGGACTATTGAGGGTCTCCAGAGTCGTGACTCCTGGGGCAGCAGGAAGGGTATCGCAAGGAAGAGGGAGATGTAGAGTAAGGAGGGCATGCAGGGGGGTTGGATAGAAAATGTGGTGGCACCATGAAACATAAGTGTGAGCGCACCAGCAACTTACCTAGGGCATAAAGCACACCTAAGAGCGCAGGGAGCACACATGAGAGCACCAGCAGCGTGAGGCAGTCTCACCTGAGAGCACCAGCAGCGTGCGGCAGTCTCCGTTCTGCCCAAAGAGAATGTCCGTGTCCAGGCGGTCGCCCACCATGCAGATCTGATTCTTGGCAATGCCGAACCTGGAGGGTGACAGGGGTGAGGCAGAGGGAGAATGGGAGGGCGAGGCATGGCGTGAGCAATGCTGAGGTCTGTATTGCTGTTGGGACAGGCGGACCCCCAGCATGCAGGTCAGCATGTAGAGGAGGCAAGTTTCCCTCCCCCCCATCCCCCACCCCAACCCCCCACCCCCCTTCCCTCTCCCCTATTCCCCTCTTTTCCCCCCTCATCTCACTTGCTGGTGAGGTAGTCCATCATGAAAGTAGACGGTTTGCCCACCACCACGGGCTCCTTCTTAGTCGATCCCTTGACGCCCACCATCGTGCACGTGGAGGGCTTGCCCACCCTTGACTCAACCAAGCCCCCGTCTCCCCGTTCACCTAGCCCTGCCTCTTGCACCCTACCCTGGGCTTACTTGCTGGCGAGGTAGTCCATTATAAAGGTGGAGGGCTTGCGCACATTGTCTGAAACCCCACCTTCCCCATTGCCCCCCCCCCCCCTTGCATCTCACTTGCTGGCGAGGTAGTCCATCATGAAGGTGGACGGTTTGCCCACCACCACGGGCTCCTTCTTGGTCGACCCCTTGATTGCGCCCACCATCGTGCCGCCCCCCGCCCACTCCTGTGCGTCTGTCAGGTGCGTCACGGCATCGCAGTTGGTGGCAATGAAGAGGCACCCGGGGTTCTCCCGCAGACACAGCGTGGCGTACCTGGGAGGGTAGTGAGGGGCGCAATGCGAGAGAGAGAGAGAGAGAGAGAGAGAGAGAGAGAGAGAGAGAGAGAGAGAGAGAGAGAGAGAGAGAGAGAGAGAGAGAGAGAGAGAGAGAGAGAGAAAGAAAGAACGACAGACCCATTGAGGTCAGTCAGGATCACCACACTGAAAGGTTGTGGATGGCCTTGTAGAGGCGCCAAGGGGGAGGGGTAAAGAGAGGGAGGGGGAGACGAGACAAGAGGTACATCGGCTGGGAATGGGAAGCGGGCTGGTTGAAACGTTTCAGCTGGTGGCGAGGATGGCGCGGAGGGCAGGAAGAAGGAAAGGAGGCAGGGGGGGAGTGAGGTGCATGGTGGTAGAAAATCACAAGTAGCGGACGTTGCATGCTGCTAGGAAGTCAGGCAGAGGAGTTGTTGCGAGAAGGGGAGGAGGGAGTTGAGTGAGAGGATGGGGAAACAGGCGAGAGAAGGAAAGGAGAGGAAGGGAAGAGGGGGATGGGCGGTGTCATGGCGGAGACTCACTGCAGCTTGTAGTAGTTGACGTAGCGGTCAAAGCCCACCACCACCGCTCCCACCTGAAGGAAGGGGTTAAGGGGGAATGCATGGCGGTTATAGGGGGATGCATGAGGTGAATGCGGTAAGATGGGTTGGATGGGGTTAGAAGAATGGTGCATGTGCAGGTGGTGCACATGGGATGCATGGAGTGGTTGTACACGTGGTGCTTGGGCCATTACCCACCTACTCACATCACCATCCACATACTCACATCACCATCCACATACTCACACCAGCATCCACATACTCACACCACCTCACCACCATGCATCAGACACTCACGTCAGCGTCATGCTCCATGTACTTGCCCAGCCCCAAGTCAATCGACTTCTTTCCATCCTCCTGCGATCCACCAGCAGCACAACACGCCAGACATAAACAGACACGCACAGTCAGTAAACACAGAAACGAGGAGAAATTGAAGATCAAAGGGCCAGCTGACCCGTTCTGGGCGATCTGTGTAGGTAACGAGGTGAACGATGGTGCGTGTGAGACTCACGGATGCTGATGTGGATGGCACACACTGGGTCGCTGATGTGGTTGACGCCAGCGAGGTCCAGTTCCAGCTGGATGCCCTGCTCGCCCACCACGTACACCTTCTTCGCCACCACGTGCATGCAACACTCAATGTGTTTGATGCTTGTGCATGTGTGAGACTCACCGGCCCCCCCAATGTGGTTGACGCCGGCCAGGTCGAGTTCGAGCTGGATGCCCTGCTCGCCCACCACGTACACCCTTCTTGTCCGCCACGTGCGTGCATCACTCACCGGCTCTCCAATGTGTTTAATGCGGGTGCAATTGAAAGAGACTCACCGGGCCACCAATGTGGTTGACGCCAGCAAGGTCCAGCTCCAGCTGGATGCCCTGCTCGCCCACCACGTACACCTTCTTGTCCGCCGGGAAGTTGATGGACGTTAAATACGCCGCCGCCGCGAACGACGACGCGAAAATCTCCTCCTGAGTCAAGGGATGGGGTGGTGAGGGTGAGGGGAGGGAGGCGAAGAGGTGGGAAGGACGGGTTTAGAGGTCAGGCAGCGGCAAAGGGGTGAGCGCTTCCTCGGTTTCATCACTGGCCCCTCTCCCCATCTATACGCTCGAGTGTCTCCACCCACCCCCTACTCTCGCCTGCAACACATTCCCTTGCAATGGAGCATGCATGCAGTCCCAGGGAGCCCACCTCGGTAACGGCAAGTCCTAGGGACTCGAACTTCTTGCCGTACTGCTTGCGCGACTTGGTCGAGTTGTTCGTCACGAACACCAGCCGCTTGCCCTGCGAAAAACGCGAAGAGGGTTATTCCGTAAATTCCGTGATGCTGGTTCGCCTGATCGTAAAACAAATTACGTGCACAAAGGAGGTACTACGGGTATTTACGAATCGGGTAACTCGCGAAGCAATTCACCAATTTACCATTGCTCGCAGCATGTCAAGAGTCTCCGGGACGCCGTCAATGAGCTTGTCACCCTTCCAAATGACACCTGAGGAGACATGGTCAGAGGCATGGCCATACGATGTGAGAGACACGATGAGCACAACAATGCCTGATGTCATACGTGTACGTTACGCTGAGAAAGGCACAGGTTAAATCAGCAACTGTAGGTAGATATGTGTTTATTCGAGCTGTCTAACCGTTGCATTTTCTATGGCAAAGGCCATTCATCATCGCATCCGTACCGTCGCAGTCGAAGAGGAACGTCTCCACGCTGTCGATCAGCGCCCGCGCGTCCGTCAATAGCGGCGCCTTATCCGCCGCTGCTGGGGGGAAATGTGTCAATTGCGATGATTGCGGTAACCATTGGCATGATCATTCCAGGTCGGATAAATCTGTTCAGGAGAATACTAAAAGTGACACACGGAAATCTGACGATAAAGCATGTCCGTGTGTGAAACGCGCTAAGTACCTTCCAGATGAGAGGAATTGCATCGGTATATTCCACCAGGTCTCCTGTTTTCACTCATCTGTCAAATCACCTATGTTCGTCATTCAATCCAGTTTTTACAGAATGTCAATGCTGCCATTGATTCAGCTGCATGTGCATTACGATCACTGAAGCAGCTGTTCCTGCTGACATCACAGGGTGACACACCCGACCCGGTAATCTCACCATTGGCTGCGCTTCCGCTCTCCGCCTCCATGACGGACGACCCGCTCGATGCTCGCACAGACACAGCGCTTCGCGACGACCACCGTGCGACGGCCTCCTGCGCGTGCGGCAAAGCTAGTCGCACGCCGCTGATCACCTGGGCCTGTTGCGACAGCTGCTGCGATGACGGCGACGCAGGCTGCAAAAATGCGCGGGATGTGGAGAGAAGCCGCTGTGCACCGCAGAGCCGCAGGGAGTGCGCCATAAGACGAGCAGAGCAAGCGGCAGCAAAACAAGGAGACTCCCCTAAATTCCACTGAAGCAAGCAACAAAGCTCCAACCAAACTGAGGTGATTGTGCTGTTATCCCAAAAGCATGCTGAATGTGCTGGATGAAATGAGACATGACCCCACCCACTGGAAATTCTGACCAGGCTACGGTCTGGAGTGGAATGCCTGGCGGGCCAGAACCCACACCCAGGGCGAACCAAGCCGAGCCTGAAGCTGGGCAATCCCAAGATCGGTTTGTTTGGGCGTAATAGGCTCGGAACAAGCCGAGCTCATTCGCCTGGTTCGGTATCCTCTGTGGTTGTCGATTGGTGCTTTTGGGAATGCTTTTGTTTTTGACCCTCCAAGATGCTCACACTCAGCATTCATCGGTCACCTGAACCACGGAATGAATTCCCAGGTGGCTATGTATGACTCGTTGATTGCGGTGACTTTTCTGACGAGGTTCATCCGCTGACGTAAGTGTAACGTGTCATTGAGCATATAGAAATGGTGAAGGAAAAAACACTTCTGCTACTCCAAGGTGTCAAGATGGCCAAAAGGGCGTGGGTTCTAATCCCACTCTAGACAGACTTTTCCATTCCATGTATGCGGTGTATCAAATCATGCGCTGGCACTCGTTTCTGACATCTGGTTCCCGCCAACTGCACCTTGTTCGGCTGAGGTCGCGGTCCTGGGATGTCCTGGACATTCCAGCTCAGCGGTAGGTGTGGGAAACACGTGCACTTCAGGTGTGCAGCTGATGACGTGTACAACAAAAGTAGGTCTAAGACCCTGGGGTTTTAGAGATTTCGCAAATGATGTTTCGAGAAGTAGTCGAGCAGATATTAGCAAACTCATATCTGCGGGGGGCATGCCAGGAACACGTGCTGATGCTGACGTGTATGTCCGGAGTTCGGGTGTCCTGGACACCCCAGGACCGCGATCTGAGATTTCTGCTGGCAGAGGGAATCCCAAATTCGCCCCACCCATGCCTTTTGCTGACATTTACCGCTACCCACAAATTCTCGAGTCCCCGTACTCCAACTTTTGTTCGACGTCGTTTGCTCGTTAGCCATCTCCTTCCGGTTATCCTTTCTTGTGTTTCCGTCAATCATTGTCTGTATCCCTCCTCGTCGGATGATTAGCTCCTTGCAGTCATCGCTAACCTGAGTTCGTTATCCCAGACTACCGCTTCGTCCTGATATCTCCTCCTCTCCTTGTCGAGGATAGCGTAATCCCTTTCGAATCAGTTTATTTCAGTGATGTCGCCCCCCAGCGACACTCGTGGCACCGCGACTGCTGGTAGCGGTGGATCAGATGGGAGCGAGATGGCCGTCGGATTCGTTGGTCTGGGCGCGATGGGTGGTGGCATGGCGGCAGCCCTGGTGAAGCGAGGGTTCGCTGTGAAGGGATTCGACGTGAGTGGCTGAAGGGATTCGATGTAACTAGCTTGAAGGGATACGATATGAGTAAATTTGATTGAGAGCTTTCGTGGCATCACGTGGGTAGGTGTCAGCATCGTAATACATGGGCCTATATGGATTCTTTCCGTAAATTAATTCTGAATTCGCCATCATCCCGTTCCTTTGCTGCCCCAATTTCTCTCGAGGCTCGTTGTGTCTCCTCCACTTTGCCGGCTCCTTGTCTTCGCTGTCCCCTCAGTTTCCTCATCTCCTCTTCCGCGCATCCTCCACTCCGTAGTCTACTCATTTTCCTCTCTCTTCCACTCCCCCATCTCCTCCTTATCTCCGCTCCACTATCGGTCTCCTCCCACGTCGCTTTTTTTCCGCTGGAAAGTCTCGTAGTACTGAAATTGACGGGGATGTAGCTCAGATGGTAGAGCGCTCGCTTAGCATGCGAGAGGTACGGGGATCGATACCCCGCATCTCCAGGTTTGCGGGGATAGCTCAGTTGGGAGAGCGTCAGACTGAAGATCTGAAGGTCGCGTGTTCGATCCACGCTCACCGCACTTTTGTTTACCTTTCTGCCTCGGGAGCATGTTGTGTAGAGCTTTTGCAGCGCCTGGCTGAGCTTCGGAACCGCCCCGCTCTATGTCTTCCTCGCCTCTCGCTCCTCGCCTCTCGCTCCTCGCCTCTCGCTCCTCGCCTCTCGCTCCTCGCCTCTCGCTCCTCGCCTCTCGCTCCTCGCCTCTCGCTCCTCGCCTCTCGCTCCTCGCCTCTCGCTCCTCGCCTCTCGCTCCTCGCCTCTCGCTCCTCGCCTCTCGCTCCTCGCCTCTCGCTCCTCGCCTCTCGCTCCTCGCCTCTTGCTCCTCGCCTCTCGCTCCTCGCCTCTCGCTCCTCGCCTCTCGCTCCTCGCCTCTCGCTCCTCGCCTCTCGCTCCTCGCCTCTCGCTCCTCGCCTCTCGCTCCTCGCCTCTCGCTCCTCGCCCCTTGCCCCCCTCACTCCTCTGCTTTCTCTGCACTTACATGACCCACGCTCTCACCACAGGTGTACCCCCCAGCATGTGAGAAGCTCAAATCCGCAGGGGGTGCTGCTGCTGCCTCCGCTGCTGATGCTGCAAACGGTAACACATGGCCTCTGTGCCGCTCTGAACACCTTGCATGCGATCCTCCCACATGCTGCTTGCGCCTCTTCTTCCTGGATTCCCTTGACCTCATTGTTTATATTCCCCTTCCATGTTTCCTGTGGGTCTTCCCCCCTCATGCTTCTCTTCATTTTTCTCACCCATCACTTCCATGCCTCCCTTCGGCCGTCTCTCTGTGCGTGTCTCAGGAGCCGCGGTGCTGGTGCTGATGGTGACCACAGCAAAGCAGGCTGAGGGGGCTCTGTTTGGTGATCAGGGGGCGCTGGAGGGTGAGTGTTCGGTATGGCTGTGAGTTGAGAGTGGTAGAGAGGGGCAGCGAATGGTGTGAGGCATCTCGAAACTGTGTCTCTCAGGAGCTGGGGTGCTGGTGCTGATGGTGACCACGGCACAGCAGTACGAGGGGGCTCTGTTTGGATTGCAGCGGGAGTTCAAAGGAAGGTGTTTGGGATGAATGTGAATTGAGAATGGTAACGAGGGGCAGAGGATTAAAGAAGTGGCTGCGCACAGCAAAACAGCAGATGCGCGACCTTTTCTTATCCTCCTTCTCTCATGTCCCATTTCTGTGCCACCTCTCCTCTCCTTCCCTTCACCCATTCTTTCCCGCATGCCCTCTACTCCCCCCCTGCAGCTCTCCCCCCTGGTGCCATCGTCATTCTCTGCTCCACTGTTCCGCCTGAATTTGCGCGGAGCCTTGGCACCAAACTCTCAGGTATGATGTGTAATGATGTTTCTTTCAAGGCACCCATTTCTCTTTTCCCGTTCGGAGAGTGAATTCTTGGATAGAATTCTTGATCATCAGGGTCTGATGCCATCTGCACTCTGTTTCAGCACTGCTCTCTCTTGCCGCTACTTCTCATCCCGCCTTCACCTCTCGTCGCTTTTGCTTCCCTCTGCGCTGCTCTTCCCCACCCCACACCCTTTCTGTTGCCTGCATTTTTTTCTGTGTTTTCAAATCTCAAGAGAAACCCTTCTGTTTCTTCTGGGATTTCGCAACCCCCCCCATCTGTCCCTTGCTGATCGTCCATGTGTGCAGAGCAGGGCAAGGGGTGGGAGATGGTGGATGCACCGGTGTCGGGAGGGGTGGCACGTGCTGCTGACGGCACCCTCACTGTGAGTTTTTTTCGAGGTGCCCAGAACATTGTCTTCTGAGGCACCTAGAGAATGCACCGGTGTCTGGTTGGCTGGTGACCTCGCCCTGGCCCTCAGTGTGATCTTTGTTTCCGAGCAACACTTTCTCTTTGTGCATTATTAGCTCGTGCATGAGGCAAGTGGTATCATGGGACGTGTCCACGTCTCTCACCCGTCCTCTTCCCGCATCAATCTCTCTGCTCCCTGGCCCTCTCAATCCCCACGTCTGCCCGCCTGCAGATAATGGCTGCAGCCACACCTGCTGCTCTCACCAAGGCACGGCCAGTGCTGGAAGGTACGCACGCTTTCGAAACTGTGTACGCCGCCTCGTGCCTGCCTCTGGCTCTTAATCTCGCGCAACTCTGCCTCATTCCCTCCTTTCCCAACATCCTCCTCTAACATCCTGATCGCCCCATTATCCCGTCTCCTCCCTCTCCCCCACTCTCCCTTTCCCCTGGTGCAGCCATGAGTGCAAAGCTGTATGTCGTGGGTGACACACCAGGTGCAGGCAGGTATGTGGGTGGGAGGAGAGGGGGGGCGAGGGCATAAGGGGGGGACAGGGAGGCAGGTGAACCAGGGTGCAGATAGGAGCGGCAGAAGGTGGCTCTCTCGTCTCCCTCTCTTCTCCCACGCTGCCTTCTCCTTCTCGCCATCCTCTACCACCCCCAATCTTCTCTCTCCAGTGCGGTGAAGATGGTGAATCAGCTGCTGGCAGGGGTGCACGTAGCGGCAGCAGCAGGTCACTCCTGTGTGGGCTTAAATGTTTCTTCCTTCCCCATTCTCCCCATCACTCTCCCCATCACTCTCCCCATCACTCTCCCAACTCCTCTCTCCCCCCCACCAGTGCGGTGAAGATGGTGAATCAGCTGCTAGCAGGGGTGCACATAGCGGCAGCAGCGGAGGCGATGGCACTGGGGGCGAGGGCAGGGCTCAATGCGCGCATGGTGTTTGACATCATCTCACACGCTGCTGGCAACTCCTGGTGAGTCCAGCTGCTGTGCTGTGGTGTGCCCTGTGCTGTGGTGTGCCCAGTGCTGTGATGTGCCCAGTGCTGTGGTGTGCCCTGTGCTGTATTGGTCCCCTCATAGCGGCAGTAGCAGCAGCAGATGCGATGGCACTGGGGAAGAGAGCGGGGTTGAACGCATGCATGGTGTTTGACATCATCTCACACGCCGCTGGCAACTCCTGGTGGGTTGAGACATGCTTGGTGCTGCGTGCGAAGCACTTCAAAAACCGCTTCAAAAATCGCACATAGGATTCTCCACTTGCACAACTGCTCTCCATCTGCACAACTGCTCTCCATCTGCACAACTGCTCTCCATCT